CTCAGATCGACCCGAAAAAAAATTGTCTTATAGAATGTGGCCTGTAGAATCCATAATTTCAAACAGTTCCAAGATTGGGCTACTAGTTCAAAAGTTACAGCCCTTTGAATTTTCTTTCGAAATTGGTTTCTAGTCCCATAACTTTTGATTGAGAAGTCTGATCGAAAAAGTACTAATTGTTTTGGATCCTACGCACCAAAATTAATAAGAAAAAGTGTTTTCCCGAGAAATTTTGGTGCAGTCGATTTTTGGTAAAAAAGGAAGGTTATACACTGCCTTTTTTGAGCTCCGAAAAAAAAATTGTCTCAGATCGACCCGGAAAAAATTTTTTTTATAGAATGTGGCCTGTAGAATCCATAATTTCAAACAGTTCCAAGATTGGGCTACTAGTTCAAAAGTTACAGCCCTTTGAATTTTCTTTCGAAATTGGTTTCTAGTCCCATAACTTTTGATTGAGAAGTCTGATCGAAAAAGTACGAATTGTTTTGGATTCTACGCACCAAAATTAATAAGAAAAAGTGTTTTCCCGGGAAATTTTGGTGCAGTCGTTTTTTGGTAAAAAAGGAAGGTTATATACACTGCCTTTTTTTGATCCCCGAAAAAAAAATTGTCTCAGATCGACCCGGAAAAACATTTTCTTATAGAATGTGGCCTGTAGAATCCATAATTTCAAACAGTTCCAAGATTGGGCTTCTAGTTCAAAAGTTACAGCCCTTTGAATTTTCTTACGAAATTGGTTTCTAGTCCATAACTTTTGATTGAGAAGTCCGATCGAAAAAGTACGAATTGTTCTAGATTCTACGCACCAAAATTAATAAGAAAAAGTGTTTTCCCGAGAAATTTTGGTGCAGTAAATTTTTGGTAAAAAAGGAAGGTTATATTCTGCCTTTTTTTGAGCCCCGAAAAAAAAATTGTCTCAGATCGACCCGGAAAAAAAATTTCCTTATAGAATGCGGCCTGTAGAATCCATAATTTCAAACAGTTCCAAAATGGGCTACTAGTTCATTCAAATGAAACCTGCTATATTTTTTTAAACTTTCAAATGTGGAAAAAAATTCTACATCGATCAATTATTAAATTCCCTATACCTATCTGTGACCGTTATATGCATAATTTGCTTAGGAAGAGTCATATAAGTACAGGACCCTAAAGAAAAGCTGCCGATGGTCAAAAATTTTGAAAAATCTTGAATAAGTTGGAATCTTTTGACGCTGGGTATAGGGAATGTGGGTTCAAATGACGTAGATTTTCATGTAGATTTCGAAAATATAATAAAATATTTAAAATAAGAAAGTTGCTATCCACATCCGGTAAAACCGGAAGTGAAACGATCATAATAATACTTTCTTTCGATAGATCATGAAAAACTATGTTGGTGTGCAAATTTTCAGATTTAAATTATTAATGAAAGTCTGCTAACTTTTAGGTAACGGTTTGCGTGAAACAGCCTGTGGGATGACAGGTAATTTCAGGACATACTCGTAAGCTATCAATGGGCAAAAACTTTATGCGATGCAAAAACAGAATTCCAAAATACATCATTATCGTTGACACACAGACGGACGAACACACACATTTTATATTGTGGCAACACATAAAAAACTCTTCAACGCATGCGCCCTTTCGTGGTAAGAATTTTGAAATTTGTTTTTCAAAATCGAATAGGGTATACCCTCGGATATACCTGAAAACCTATTCAAAGACATGCCATTCAACTTTGTAACTCTTATGGTTGCTGAGAAAGAATTAAAGAAGAAATCCAAATTTCACCACTTCTTTAGGAGTGGCTCCCAAACGAAACACGTTGCAGCCCCGATTTATTTGGAAAAAGTGCTTGTCTTGATCCCCTCTATCACCCAATTTTTTTTACATACGGTCATGTAACACCCTGTATATCGACCAAATAAAAAAGAAATATATTTTATACTATTTTTTTATAGTACATAATTATGACACAAACGGCGCCTCATACGTTTAAGTCCGTTACACCTTATAAAGAAAGTTGTATATTTCATTGCATTTTTATTTTCAGCTATGTACATGGACGGCCAAGTGATAGCGAGAAAAGCGAGAGGTCTCCTACACCAATTTAGACAACTTAGAGAAATTCCGTGCACGCTGTCAGGCCTTTGCATGCGATGCGGCCCAGGCATATGGGACAGTTCGCATAGTCCAAGGGTATACTGCACCGGACACGAAAATGGATACTGTCCGAACATTAATTAATCAAATCGCACGCATGTACAAAGAGCATTTGTTCGCCCGAAAAAGTATTATTTTTAAACAATTTAGCCTAGATGAATAAATAAATATAAGCTATATTGTTGATGTTAAAAGAACTATTATCTATCAGCTCATGACCATATCATTATTCACTTGATGGATTGGTGACATGCTGGGTTTGTGATTTGTCATTCGGACGCGGTGCGAGTTTTTGACAATAAGATGCTTGGTGTCTTCATTTCTCAGTGTTTTTGCAGTATGCGTTCACTTAATACCTATTAGCATGCATGCAGTTTTCCAATCACTATTTACAGTTATAGTGCAGACTCAGAGTGTTGCTATGTGAGAGTTCCATCATATTGTACCTACATGTAAAATATCATATCTCTGTACACAGTTTGTTTTATATTTATTACTAAATTATATATTGTAAATGATATTAGCTATTAAATAAATATATTCATCACATACACTTTAATACCTTCGTATATATTTTTTTTTTAATTTCATTTGGCATTGAAACTATAGATATAGGACACGTGGAGAGTCTGGATATTTTTTTCTTTACACTTCTTGGTCCCACTCATAGCCAGAACCAGTTTTTGATTCCATATATGAACCGTAACTTCCTATAGGAAAGCCCACTGGCTACATTAGGTACTGTTGGACCGAAAAGGGCAATGTATGGAATTTGGACCCTGACGTTGTGACAGTTTGATATTATGTCAATTTAAATCGTTTTACAATTTTACAGAAGTTTTGTGCCTAGAAATAAATATAAATACTGGTTAAATAAATCAGGATTTTGCGTAAATTTGGACATAGTCCCGAAGTAAAAATCAGTTGAAATGACGTCATTCGAAAAAATATCCGTGTACGTCAAAACATGCATAATATTATTAACTAACTATCAACTTTCATCTCACACTTTTTTCAATCTAACGAATGGTTAAGGCTGTAACTCGCTGATTCCATACTTTTCCACCACTCCGTATATTTCTTGTGTCAAATCACAACACCCTATATTTTTTATGTTGGTATAATTGTGCATGTTAAAGTCACTAGATATAGTGACTTTAGTACATGTTTGTTTTGAACGCACCCTACCGTTAATCGTCCATTTTTTGAATTGTTTATTTCTTAAAATATGACGAAAAATCATAAAATGTCCTCGTTTTCTCCTGTAAAGGTTGAGGTGAAAGAAGAAAACCTCGTAGGTCATGATTATCTAATTGCCAAAGGCCGTTTAAAAGGAGTGCTACGCCAATTAACAGAACAGAGCGACTCCGATTCCGATTCCGTAGATGAAGCTGTCCATTACTCACCCCGAAAGACGTAAGAGGTACCTCATTCTCACCACTTTCCACGGAAAAGGTTTTCAGGGAATCACGCAAACGAAAAATCGCAGCACCGGTTCCGGTTCATCACACTTACGTGATGAAACTCTTCGATCGTAGCGTAGATCTGGCTCGGTTCGAAGAAGATACGCCATTGTACCCAATATGCCGCGCCTGGATGGCCAACTTACCGCGAAACCCCCAAGTGATCGTCAAGTACGTCTTGTACACTGGCCTACATTTTCACCTACTCTCTATTTTAGGAGGCGGCTATCCTCCCCCGAACCAGACAGTAACACTTGGAGCAATAACTTTACCGAAATAAATCGATTGCCACGCCCCTCCGAGGGATTTCGTACACGAATACCTTCACCGTTACCAGCTCAATTAGGCCGTAGCAAAGACGACGTCGATAAGATTAACTTTAATTATGTAAGGCTTCAAACCGCTTTGAAACGCAATTAACAAGTTTTCAGGAGGATAAATCGCCACTGTCTCGCGATATACTTATTCCCACGCACCTACGAAGATGGCGAAGCGTAAAAAAGAAGTGGATAAGTACGGCGCAAAAGAACGAAAGTCGTTATGAAAAAAGCATGCAAATACTCCAAACTATTTATAATAAGTAAGTTTTTTTTTTGTTTCGTTGATTGTTAATGTACGTTGTATTTTTTTATTTATTATGTGTGTTGTTTTAGAGCTCAAGAGACAATGGATTATTAGAAAGTTTTAGTTTTATTGCCGTGTTGAATGAATAAATGATTACCTTTCTTTAATGCGTTTTGTTTAATTTAATAATCGGCCACTGTAGAACAGGTGCTCATATCTCGTGTGGTGACTGAAAACAGACTAGTCGTGTTACAGTGACTATAAAGACAGTGTCGATAACAGGGTATCTCGTTTTTGATTGGTCGTTGGTTCCGGTCGCCATATTGGAGCTAAATTCCAAACTGGCCAATAGAAAGTTGTCGCCACTGTCCTTATAAAGTCACTGTAGCCGCTGTATGTGATGCAATTGTTTTTGAGCTACATTTTTAGCCACAAAACCACTGAGGCATGGTTGGTTTATATTATGGTTATGGGTTGACTGACTGTTTCAAAAGAGCTCCCACATATTATTCATAAATTTTCCTCTTTATTTTCTTTAGGTAACTTTGAAATACATAACAAGGAATCATAGAAAGAGCAAGTACCGATAATTCTGTCATCACCCCCTAAGTGACACCAATCTACTCCATACACCATGCTTTCGTGTTCATAGAAACTACAAACAATGTCCAAACCGTCTCCAAGGACGTGTGCTCCGCCTAACATACACGCACTAAGCAGAGACTTTGAATTAAACGGATCCCACTTTAATCGCCAGACTGGCCCTGGCATCTTAGTCAAACATTCCTCTACTTTCATATTGCGCACATCCCAAAGTCGCACATTTTCATCATAACTGAAAAGTGAAAGTTTTTAAACCTTCCACCTTCATTTCGAAAATACCTGCCAGTCGCTATTTGGAACTCTTTATTGATGTTCGAGTGCACACTTGTTACCCCAGCTTGATGAACTCTGTTCTTGTTCACCGGTGCCGTGCCAATGCGTGTATCAAAAGTTAATAACAAAGCATCGTCTCCTCCTGAACTCACAATTAATATTAATCCGCTCTCAAAAGATAGTCACCTGTATAAAACACAGCCGTGTTCCACGAGTAAAATGCTGCAATCCACGCTTCAAAGTCGTGCGCTTTAGCTGTATTTTGCAAAACCAAGTTGTTTTCGCAAAGCTCCAACTTATGCCAATTACCCTTCGAATCGCTACAGATCATTTCATGCTCTTTCGTCCAATCTACCGACAAAATCAGTGCTTCGCACGGTACAGTGCACGTAGTAATTAACATTAAACGCTCATTCTCAAATTTATAAACTTCAATTGCACTTGCTGCATTAACTACAGTCAAAATTGGGCAGTGAAGGCACCATTTCTGATCGAGAACAGCGGAGGTATTCACTGTTTGGCATAGCTGTAATTCATTTGCCGGAGTAATCGAAAATAATAGTATTCGTCCGATCCGCTCTTGCGTTTCTGTAAGTTGATAGTTTGCGCAGACAAAGAAATGCTGGTACGGTTTATGCGGGCACCATTCAACTGAATCGGCGTTAAATTCAGTTTTATATTTATGCAATGTTATAATTTGTTTAGTTTTATCTTCGCTCATTGTTGCAAAATTATATTTATAGGTTAGCACAAAAAAAGTAAGGTTATGTTACAATTCCAAAGACCTACCGCTGGTGTACAGTAGAACTACCAAATAACAGTTGATCTACTATAACTTTTGTCTCCATGAGCTCTCATGAGCTAACTTCGTTACTTTAAATAGCAACACCTATTTTTTAATATATTTTTGGATTATACGTGAAATTTCAGTTCTTTGGTACCCACATATCGATATCTACCATTTAAGGTTTTTAAGTTATTTTGACTTTAAGAAATAAAATTGAAGGATGTAGACGGTACCTTGATAATTGGTTATCTGAAAACGTTTGTGGTTATGGTAACCCATTAGTACCAGAGCATAGAGAAAGAATGGGGCTTTCTTTTAGTGTACTTAAAAAAAAGTTAAGTTGCGTACGACTCCACCTATGAAGATCCAAATAAGAAACTTCAAAGACTAAAAACTCAGTTTTGTTAAAAGGAATTATCATTTTCTTACTATTGCATTAAATAGAGAATCGAAAATTAGCATATTTTGATATTACATGTTCGTATAGCTATCTTGATTGATTGTATTGTTACAATTTTTCAGAAATGTAAGGTGGTAGTATGATCAATACACATTATAGTAACTACTTAGATCATTTGAGGTTACATTTATAAAAGCAGGTTTTTGCAAATTTTTTCAAGAAAATACCATTAAGTACGAACTAGTAAAAAGATTCAACACAATGATGTTTAGAACCAGAACCGTTGTAAATATGAACAAGTACAGTATTTCCTATAGGTCTGGACCTTTGGAACCGAAAAAAAAATCGGAACCGCAATTATTTTAAGAACCGCTGGACCGCAATCGTTATAAATATTGTTTCGATAAAAGTATTAGAACCTGAACCGTTATTTTCAATAGATGACTCATGCACTTACCTATAAGAAGCAGCTAAAGCCTTTTCAAGTCATCTTTAGATAGTCCCGAGGATAAGGCTAATAATCGAAGCACAAGATTCGCGGGCACACACATACACGGCACTTTACCAGTTTAATTTATACTTTAATAGGTAACCGAAGAAAGAAAATTAACACAAAAATCAAAAACGCGGCACATGAAGTAGACCGACGCGTACTAATGTGCACGATGGCGGTGGTACAAACGTCAACCGTACAGAAACGTCAGAAACTACGACAGCACAGACCATCAACGGTACGACAGGTTAGGGTGCGTCATAACGTCACAAAAGATAAGTTCCCCTCTCGATCCGCACCTTCAAAACTACCAGGGTCGCGTCTAACCTTTTTCGGGCCCTAGACACACAAACAGTGTAGGGCCCCTTACCCCCCTGGTTTATACTTATATCTCTACTATAGAGAGTGTTATCTTGTGTGCACCATGCACCCACAATTATATTAATGATATTAAAGTATGTTTTATAATGTGTAAAGGTGCGTTTTCACGCTCATGCAATTTGCGCAAATTGATTTGTGCATGCCAATTTGTGCAAGTAAATTGATGCATGAAAACGAAAATTGTTTACTTGCACAAGCCAGAAAATTTGGCTTGAGTAAAATCTGGATGGTCAGATAATTTGCATGTGGTTGGTGCAAATGCATGAACGTGTAAACGACACAACAATTCGACACGTGCATAGAGAGTGAATAATAATAATAATAATTGTTGTTCCGACGTGCACGTGACTTTAATAGACTGTGTGGTTCGTTATTTTGTGTTTTGTTGGTGATAATGCCAAAGAAAGAAAAAGAGTTCATGGTACATTGGTTTATTGAGTTTTATAAATCCTTTCCTTGTCTCCTGCGATCTTCTTTTTTGCACTTTATGCAACTTAGCAGGCCCCCAATTTTAACGGGCCCTAGGCTCATGCCTACTGTGCCTAGGCGAAAACGCGGCACTGAAAACTACCCCTAATCACGGCAGCTACAAATCTTGTGATTTGTGACTGCAGCGAGTGATTAGGCTACCGTCTTGGCCCGCAAAAACCATAGATTACAATAGGTTTTCGTACAAAAAGTGTGCACTAGTTCAACAAACGAACAAACCGAAATTAAATATACACAACAAAAGTAAAGATGTCAAATCAGTTTATTTTAACTTTGTAATTAAAATGACGTATTAAATATTAATATTTATTTTCTTGTCCCACTTAAAAGCACTTACCTACTTATTCTTTCCAGTTTATTATTATATTTCGTAAGTAAAAGTTTTAGAACAGCAACATAGTTCATATGATCTTGTAGTGATCAACATGGAGACTGTAGACATACAAGCAGTAGAATCGAAATTGAGCGATGTGACTGTAACCGCAATTCCGATGGTACCGAAGTCCGGCCAAAACCAACAACCGGGCCAGTCGAAGTACGCGCAACTTTTGGGCGTGATCGAAGAAATGGGACGCGAGGTCAGACCTACTTATGCGGGCAGTCGAAGTTCTGCAGAGAGATTAAAACGAGGAATCGTTCACGCTAGGATTTTAGTTCGAGAATGCTTAATAGAAACGGAACGGAGTGCTCGACAGTAACTGTTAAAGCGAGTATTAAATAAATCGGGTTATTTTATAGTACAAAAGTGTGTTACGAAGAAACTTGTTAATTTAGTTTGCACTCTGAGCCTATTCGGATGAATGGGCTAAGTGTAGGTTTTAGTAAAATCAAAGTAAATATGTTAATGTTATAGTCTAATTACTCAGGTGTCTTACAAATACGGATCATATTTTTACAACTGTATAAAAGTATAAATTTTGTATAAATCTACTGTAGTATGTACCAAATCACTTAAAGGCAATTGTGATTAGATAATAAATGATAGTTTTTTAAATTATGGATTCATTTATTATTGTTCAACAAATGCAACTTATCGCATTAGAGCCCTTTTAGGAAGAATAGATTGTCAGGGGAGCTATCTATCTATTCACAGGGAGCAGTTAGGCACGCCAAACGCCCATCATTCCTATCCCCTTTCTTTCGGAACTAGCTTCAGAGCTCGTTCCCCCCAATAAAGCATAGGACCTTGTTTGTCACAGTGGCAGACCACATGCTCAGTAGTTTCATCTGCCTCACCACAGAACCCACACATGGGCTCTCCTACAAGCCCATTATTGTGGAGGTGATAATTGACCATCCAGTACCCTGTAAGGACACTGGTGATCTTTCTAATTTGACTTCTATTCAGTTTTAGAGGCTTAGAAGACCTAGATTTGCCAATTAAGGGCCCTGGACTGTCTGAATCCGGTTGGTTGTTGCCACTGAACCTGGAATTGAGTGGTCACCCAGTCGTTAACCTGGCCCCACAATGAAGGGAGCAAATTCCTAAAAGGTATGCTCGGGCCTGACGAAGACCCCATCACGAGTCTGCTCGTTCGCCCTTTCGTTGTCCCTCAGTGCGCTGGCATCCAAATCAAGCTTACCCAATTATAGACTCAGTTCAACCCTTGCTCCCTGTCTGGGAAAGTGACCGCTTATAACTCTTCGGTCTGACAACCCGGATCACAATATTCCTTTCTTGCGAGGAGGGGTCGGATCTTAGGGTTTCCTTCCAAATCCGCCCATCCCCAAGACTGCTTTGATCCTTCCACTCATCCCAATTGTTTAGCCGTGTGGAAGCCTTCCGAGCATAAGTATAAGCTGTGGAGGCAGAGGCTCAGTGTAATGGTTCTAGTCCCAAAAATCCCTCCATGGACCAAGTTTGCGGGGTTTTCATGGATCCATTGACTCCCAGACACTAGACAGGTGAGTATCTCTGAGCGTACCTTTTCCTGTAGGTTTCCCTCCGTATGGTAGGCCACCATACATAAATGCCCCATGCAGTATATTATTGACCCTATCAGTATCACTACAGTAGTGTAATAATATAGTCAAGGCTTCAAGCCCTATGTACAATATCAAAAGCCCTTCTACATGCCTATAGAATTATGTTATCAAACATCTCTAAACCTTCCCCATATAGTTTTATTCGTTGAAGTTTTTAAAGTTAAAAGCGACTATAGTTTCGGCGTACTGCCATCATCAGGCGATGTGAAAGTTAACAGGAAAACGGTAAATTACAAACGTTGAAGACGGATAAGACGAACATGTTGTTTTTTTTTTAATTATTAACTGGCCGAAGCCAAGTGAAAAACCTGAAGGGTGGTTAAAACGGAAAGGTTGTCCTAAGTTTCAAGACGAATTAATTATCAAGCCTTGTTAAGATAACCAACCGGGGGGATGATGGCAGTACGCCGAAACTATAGTCGCTGTTATTTTTAAAAACTTCAACGAATAAAACTATATGGGGAAGGTTTAGAGATTTTTGATAACATAATATATTTCAACCCCCATTTCGAGGAACGATGGATCCAACTCAAAAAAATGCCTATTGAAGCTGCAGAGTTGCCTCTTTCTGCTTTTCCCTCGATATGTGTTCCGTTTCCAGGTCAGGCGGGACTACCACACTACCCTTTTCAGATCCACTTGACGTCCTTGAAGAGTGAGCCGATCAAGGTCCGCCCCTCTCTGTGGACGACCTCTACTATCCGATGAGCTCATCTCCGTCGAGGATATAATGAATCGCTTCCGAGAATGGCGCGTATCCATCTTATTACGATTGACCCATCAATGCCAAAGCCTTCATCACCCTCACTAATTGAATCAAAGGTCGTGCTGTTAAACCAGGCGCACCCTCGGTATCTAGAAACGCTCCCAGTCCTCTCCCCTGCAAACATCTGCACACGAGGCTGTGAAGAGCCATCTCCGTGGACATCAGTCCTGTAAGCATGTTGGAATGGATGTAGCGGTCTATAAGGACCAGTATATTAGTATACCCCATTCCTCATGTATCAATCCACCATCTTCACCGTTTTTAGAAGAAACGATGATTAGTTTCCAGGAGACATGTGAGAGCCTCACCCGCGGTAGGCGTATATCTGACCCATGGAAGCCTCAGTCTCCTCTATTTTTGCCCCGGCGAGTTTTTCAAAAGGATCTATTACTTCATGAAGACCCTCTATAATATGTTAACACAGAAGGTCCCTATGATAATCTTCTCTTATACCTTCGAATATTGTCCTTACACCTGAGTTGAGTGATCTTGAGATCTTCCCAGCCAGTGTCCGCAGGCAGCTTAGTCCGCATGACCCTTTTTGAAGAACCTCTTTACGAACCTTTTCAAGGTCTTAGTTCCGCCAAGGTGTGCATACGGAGTACAGACAGATACGCAGAAGGTTCGAATACTTAGGTACATGTATTAAAAGATGTCAATAATTCACGGATTTTTATGGTCTTTGATATATAAGCTAACTGAGATGATACTTTTCGGACAGAATATAAGAAATCGGTAAAAAGCCAGCATGTTTCATTCCTCTGACTACAGGACAGCCTCTTTAGCCAGATTTTAAGAATAGATAGAGTTTAGAAATGGATCACCAGGAATGCATTTAGGATGCTGAGGGTGACAATATGCAAATCTTTCCCACTTTCATCCCTTATTTGCCTGGAATAACATTGCCGCCATCTATTGTTCATTTAGATTTCTAACGCCAAAAAAAGCTGTCCATTAGTGCTAAAAGATGTCACTATCAGTCTTAACCAATTGTCACATTTGACATCTGGGTGTAGATAGAAAATTAAAATAATTAGCAATTTTCCACTTAATAACGATTTAAATTCCAAAACGTTTTCATAATGTATTTATTCAAAGACAGTATATCTGTAAAGTGATCGGAATGCGCGGTTTTTTGTGTTTAGATTGTCTGCAACCGTCGTCCAATCAATGGGGGCACCGTGAAGAATTTTCATTGACGGTGAGCGAATTTTATTTATTTATTATCCATATAAAGATCGTTTACACTTTATGTATTATTAGATTAATATGAACAAATGGTATTAATTGCCTTTGGTGCTCATTGGATGCCCTCATTCTATTAAAAGAAAGAAACACAAAAGCTTATATAAATGTATTCTGTTCCAGTTTATTTTCATTAAAGTATTTCTACGCTGACACCTGTGCTGTTTATTTTTACAAAACGATTTTTGGAGTAGATCGAAAGAAGGAATGTATAACATCTGCTTGACGTTCATAAAAAAGTAGCTTTACGTTGGTAAAGAATAAGGCACATGTTTTCATATTACGGATGTACAACTTTTTGCTTGCAAGGCTTGACGTACTTACAAACCGAGTGGAAAATGTATTACAAAGTGTTCATTTGCTTATGCATAATTTAATTAACTCCACACTTTAAAAGGCTACCAAATTTTTGCTTCTGTGTCTATTGCGGGCATTATTGACATTGTTTAATTATGTTTACCATGCCTGTGCTGCTTGAAAAATATGCAGATAAGAACTGATAACGAATTTTTTGTAATTGCTGTTTCGTTTCATGTTGAATAAGGAAAGTAGGTATGTTTTTATTATTGGTCCGCAATCTGCAAATTTTGTGGTTTTTTATGTGTTGTGCCCTATTTCACCATGCAGAAGCTTTAATTAGTGTCTACTATATGGTTCATCAGGTAACATTCTCCGGGGTTAATGTGCCAGTGCTTGTTATGTACAGGGTGGGTTGTGATCGACATACAAGATGGTGCAGATCAAGTGGGACTCGAGGTGAGACTGATATTACAGATTTAACACACAAGGTTCCTGGCTTGGCTACAAGGGTCCTGGGTTCGAATCCCAGGTAAGGCATGGCTGTTTGTTATTGTAGGTATAGTGGGTTGAGTGGGAAGAGTAGCAAATTGCCAACACTCCGCCCACTATAAAATAAAGGCAATAAAAATAAAAACAATTTAAAAAAAAATGAAAACCACTAATTTCAAACAAAACAATTATCTCTTATGAGATAAAGTTTAATATGAAATAATATGTTGAATTTTGGCAGATTAATGAAAGTTTTTGTTTTTTTTATTTAAGGATAAAAGATGACCTAATTAATTATTTTAATGACAAACTTAATAATTAATTTTGCTGATAATCTGCCTACTGAAAGGTAAATATCTGTACATAATTTGTACATCATGTTTATATCTCGGTTTATATGTACCTCGATATGTACCTATATGAAGTACTTAATTGATAATTTTTAAAGTATTGGTTTACGCAACAAAAAATTCTGGAAAAACTTTTTATACATAAAAAATTGTTCTAAAAAAATCTTGTCAGACTTTTTCTTGTTATAGTCCAAGATCCCAGGACCCTCAGATCTTACTTATTTTCTAATTTATAATTATTAGTGTGGACAATGGACGTATACACACCCCCTAGCTCGAGCCCTAGCTTGGGCCAACGGCCAATTCTCATGTATCAGGTGGTACAGTTACGTAAAAATTGTACTCACAGTCAAAGGACTGATTCTTACATAGGGAATATTGTAAATTATTAGAAATTCATACTGCCAGATACCTTCTGTTGGCAGTACCTATTGCCAGGCACTTTTAGTTTATCGAAAGCAAAAAACCACCTAATTCTTACCGTCCGAGACTTGATTTTTATCTATGAAGTTTAGGGGGCTATTTTAACATATTTTGTAAGCTTCCAGACCAATCGTAGGGAGCAATCATCCCCTAAGTAGGTTTGTATGACTTCATGTTTTTGGTTCTCTATTATGAACGAAATTTCCGAGGAAATATCTGTATTAAGTATACAGGGTGATTCAAATTCGTGGCTAATCATTGGGATCTCTGCAACAGTGAGATATACAGTGTGTGGTGCCTCTTTCTGTGATTTTTGAAAAATGTCTTATCGACGAATGAGACGGAGAACAAAAAAAGAAAAATAATGACGTAATTTACAAGAAACATTTCAAAATCAAAAATTTTACATTCATTTCTCATCAAAACGTCCACAGGTAAGTAAGTAGATCTTTCTGAGTCAACATGGCTATAATGGCGATGCATTCAAATGAATTTCTTTTTTGTCCACTATTTCATTCTTGATTTTTTTTCAATAAATGCAATGGCCTTTGTATACCTTTTTTTTTAAAACACGCTATCAAAATTATCAAAGGTGACATCAGATAATTAATTCAGGACATATGTTTGACTTCTGTAACGAAGCATACCTCGCTTCTGTTTCTAGCTCTTCAACTGTGGGAGTGATGTCAATAATTTTGCGTCTGTGACAAGCTATTAGATTAGATGAAAAATCTAATAATTCTTGTGGCACTGATGCTTCTCCCATATTGTAGCGAATATTCCAGAAGTCCCGATAGACAACGAGGCGCCATGAAAGATTAGTCATCGGCGATAAAGAACGCAAACGAATGTGCTCAATCTTTCCGGGAAATATAACGTGTTTTATTCTAGAACGTTCGGAAGCTTTCGTTAAAACCGAATTGTGATTCAGTTCAGTTTCAATTTCAACGCCGAAGTAATAAATAGTTCGCGCTGTTATAAATTTTATATTGTGAGTGATAAATAACAGTACAATGTTATAAATCAATTCATTTCAAGATTGTGTATTAATTATAAATACTTAAAGCAAGTAATTAAATTTACGTTACAGTATTTATTTTCATAATCAGTAGCACTAGGGAGAATATCTTCATCTTTTAATTATTGCTTCAATGATTATTTGTCAATGCTAGTAATATTCTTAGGAGCGATTAATATACACTGTGTCCAAAATTAGAGAAAAGATGTTCAATTACAGAGTTACCAGTTACTAGAAAATTTCGATTACTTCCGAGGATATTTTAGAAAAACCGAAATTTGCCGATTTCGTTTCTGTTTTTTCCTGGTGTTATTTGAGCAGCTACAGAAAAATAAAAAAACACTTTCTCATTGTCACTTTTTGAGCTCTACAAGACACCCTCGAGAGACTTCCAATACAACGACGTCCTAGATGATAGTGTTAGGGACAAGAGACGAGGGGAATTAAAAACATAATAATAGTTTATTCTTTAATTAATATTTGTGAAATGAACTCTTTTCATTTAAAATCTTCACAAACATTTTACAATAAATGCGCCATGGCAATTAGAAAGCGTACGAGTGTTCCAGAATAGTCAAATGGCATTTTATACCAACAAGTAAATGTCTCAATAATCGTCTAAATAATTTATAATAAAATAATATATTGGCTTTGCATGCTAATTTGGTTTGTATGCTACGTTATATTTCCCGATAAGTGTGAAACATCACACACACTCACACAACTCACATCTTTTTCGTTGACTGTGCCCCTTTTAATTTCTGTCTAACGCGCGAATGCATAAATGACAGTACTCAGGACCTACTGACTACGAGAACGTGGATGTATTAGGGGTTGAAATGGACATTGGTATGCAGAACCAAGTTGGAGGCTCGATGCCCCCACTGACAGAATATTAATAATAATAATGATTTATTGTAGTAGGCCTAGGTCTGCTTTTTACAGAATCAACATTTAAGGCACTATTTGACCTTACTGTCAGCCGTAATAAACAATTTAAAACCAACTTTCTTTGAAACACTTCAATGCATATTCATGAAGTGATAAAATTTAAATATGAGTCAATTATAAGAGGAGGAATTAATTAATGATTTCAGCTAGCTAATTTACTACCGGCTTGCGTTATTAAACTGAATTCCATTTCCAATGAGAAATAATTGACAGCCGAACGCAAAGTTTCGCGGAGCTTAATTTTCGTTAATAATAAAGCACATATACAAGCCTGTAACTCCTAACTTGAATTTAGTCCGTCCCTGACCATCGCCCCCATCTGTTGCATTTATTCATACCAGACCACACACAGATTTATATAGAGTTATAGCTACTTGCAAATATTATATCTAATTCAATTAATTAGTGTTAATTGAAAAGAATTTACCTTGTATTCCGATAGTGGGTTCGGGTTGAATATACCAAAATGCTTCTGAACCCGAACGCTTTCTTTACAAGTTCCAAGAATATTCACTCGCAAAAATCACATTAAAGCAATCACGCTTGTTAGAGCGTACATTCTTTGACGTATATTGCTTTTGTCGCATAACAACTGAATTCTGTGCATTTAGTAACGGCTTCCAATTATTCTTATACAATTTATGACCTATGAATTGCGCTAAACAAACGTCATCCGTTTAAACGGTTTAAAGGCAGGCCTGTGGGGGCGTCTAACAAGTTACGAGCACAAAATTTAGAATTGCAAATGTGAATATCTAAAAAACGGACTGTCAGAAGAGGCTATTTGCAAATGATACCTAGATGTAGTACACGAAGCGCATCCTTCCGTAGGGTGGAAACTTCAAATGTGAAAATCTCAAAAACGAAGTGTTGGAAAAGAGTACTCACAAAGTGAAAATGAACTAATTGTGGGCACAGCATCCAGAGATTACTGACCAAATTTCAAAGAAACCCCTTAAAAGCATAATTCTGCATTATTGACATGTCAAAGCCACATTTGGTACTCTGACAATTTATAAAAAATAAAAATAAAATAAAAAATAAAAAAATAAAATAAAATAAAAAAATATAAAATAAAATAAAAATAAAATAATTCTTCTAATTTTACTCAACTGCTCATATTGTTCCAAGACTCACCTTTTTGTTATTTACAGATGACACTTGATGCAAATTTTAGAAATTACGCCTTCACCTCTTGATTGAGGTCAAGCGTGCGCAAATGAATCGCCCAACTTCCGGGAATAAAGTCCACAGGAGGGCCGAATCGGGTGGACATCATCGTCAAAGCTCCTCCGGTTCCGGCCATCACAGATCCGATTCGGCTCAAAGCTGCGACCTGGACATTCAGCACGAAACGAAACATCACCGCTCACGATCGGGACCTTACGAGAAGAACGAGTTGCGGCACGATTCCAGCGGATCTCAACGTGCGGTAGTCGGTTTCGTGTTTGACGTTTTTAAAAAAAATTATTTTCAGTGACGTCAAGATCGAGCATGAACGAGACACCCTACCCTCGTCCGACGTCGTTATTTCCTACAAGTGGTGATAGCAATGACTCGTTACGTCTCGAGCGGGAGCCGTTAAAGTTCGAAGTTAATTTGGTCGGTGCGCCGCCTGAAGTCGAGCAGCTTGTGAATAACATCAAACAGGTTGCGGAGCAGTTCTTGTATCATTGGAAGATGTTCCCTATCGGTAAGTTGGCACTAAAACGTATTTTTTGTTCTCTGCACCGATTGATTCTAAAAAATTCGCGCGCGTCATTTTTCCAGTGCTTCCCGCGCCGATTTTCCAAAAAGATCTGCTCCCTCCCCCTCAGCAAATCGCCTCGGATGGTTCTTTAGGGAGGTATAAGATTAAGTACCACCTTAGGGAATTATACCTGCGAGATCTTTTCGTGGCGCCGTCGTTTGACGAGCTCGACGCGGTCGCCGTCGATTCCAAGGGTGAACCGAGGAAATTAACCGGAAAGCAACTGGAATCAATTCGAGAGAGGGGGTATGCTAAATTTCTATCATCTAATGCATGTGGTTCAGTTTGTAATTTTTTCCTTTCAATAAATTCTTTGTACCGAATTGTGTTATAAGCTTAAACTTAGATCACAGTGTTATAAGTAAGCTAATTCACAGCGTATGTTGTTCTGTAAAGCTTGCACAAGGATAAGTATGGAAAGCCTAAACGTTTGAACTCCCAACAACTTGACTCAATCAGGCACTTAGGGTATGTCTGTGTGATGTGCATCAGTAACCTATTTGTGTACTTTTTTTGTTGACGTGTATCTAACTACACTTTTTTCTATTTTTTTTCAAAACGGTGTGCAGAGTGTTTTTGCTCTTGTGCATTTTACAGTAACGACATCTAATTTTTTTGACACCGAAAGCGGATGATCTCCACTGGGAATTGATCATCCGCGCCTGAGTTTTTTACAATAGTAACGTTGGCCGTTATGTTTTTCAGTCAATTCGAAGTTGAGTCGCTTAATTTTCCTGGCCAGCAACACTGTTGGAGGCTTTCGCAACTTTTACAAAAGGGCACCGAACGAAGTCACGCCTCTCTTCTAAACGATTTAGCGTTAGCTGTGCGATTTTTAGTTGTAACCGCTAAAGAGCGACTGATTTCACATTTCTTTAGCGTTTCCGAAGCAGTCAAGGCGCTCGTCAAAGGTTTGCTTCGTATTATAGATCTTCTAATAGGACTTCCCAGTCTACAAGCTCATAATTTAGACGCAAAAATACGCGAGGAACGTTGTAAATACTTAGTCGCCGAATTAATTTGTCGAGTAAGACCAATAATACAATGCTAACACGTTTCACTAATTCCCGCCACATTCCAGCCGGAATACGAGGAATCGTTAGAGATAATCTGCACGTACGTACGAAGACAGCTGAGGAGGGCGGCGACCGAGAAGTTCGAGGTGACCCGCGAATGCACGCAGCCGCCGGTTTCGGTACCTTATCGTTATTTAACTCCGTCAAATATAGAACTAGACTTACGATTATGGGATAGACTGTTAATGCGAAAGGCTCTTCCCACTTTGGTAGCTATTTTGGAGAGAGAAACGAGAGGCTGGTTCCTGCATTTTCGCGAGCGCCTGATCGCGGAACTTCGCGCGCAGAAATTGCCGGACGAAGATATAGAAAAGGTAGGTGACTATATTTTTTTTTATTAGAGCATCTTTTTTGTACACGAAAGTTACATTTGAGATTCGAACCACAACTTGGAAAAATTCAAATTCGTGAAAGCCTGAAACTGAAACTATCATTTGAGAAATGATAACTCCGCCCCTTTTTTTGCAGTGTTGCCATTACCAGTTACGCTTATAAAAATTGTTTTGATTTGTTTTAGTACATTCATCTGACAGTGTTACGTAACAAATTCCAAAAGAAAGGTGAAGTACCCCTCTCCCCCTCCCCAATAATTCAAATCTTGCAGGCAGACATTTTTGGTTTCTCTAAGGCTGGAAGTACATATAAAGTATAATCACGAACCTTGGTGATGAAGTCCTTGGAAAGTACGTTGGTACAATTCAAAATTCACTTGTTCGTTCACGATAGCTGGGGAAGCTATTGGTAGGGTTGCCACATTGACTGCTGTGAACTCCACCATCCCTCCGTGAACCAAAATTGACACCGAAAATATACCACATTCAAAAATTTATTGGGGATCTTGCTTGCAATTTCCATCATTTTGGCAAAAAATTGTTTTTTATTGCTATTAATTTGTCATAAACAAAAAATAATTACGGGCACCCTGTATATGAGAATATTTCAAATTTGTTAAGTAAATCTGGGGGGTTGGTTTATTTTACTTGAATTTGTATATCCGTATTTGTTTTTCCTTTTAAAAATTTTGTAATTGCGTGGTTTTTGTTTTAAACGTTATCGCTTTGTAACTGTTCAATTTAGAACTACGACATATCTGGTCAAGTTTGCGTACTTTGTAAAATGTTTTACTTATGCGTCTGCGATAAGGATTGTTTATCCGGCTTAAGTTAATTAATGCCGACGAAATGCACATCTGGCGCTGATTACAAAGATGAAGCTGTTTCGAAGAATTGCGCGTTACATATTGGAGAAGTGGGGACGTTTGGCGCGTTCGTTCGTGATTGGCAGTTTATTTGAAAATTAGTAAAGGAGTTTATTTTTTTGTGGATGTTGTGTTTCTTTAAATACTGGAGACAACGAGAAGACGGGGCTTTTTTCTTTTGCGACGGTTTGAGAGCGTGAATTATTTTACGTTAAATTTTTTGGGCAGTCAGCCTGTATATGTGCAAAGGTATTTTCATCCGTTTTGTAATAAAATATGCAGACGAATATTAATTTTGTGAGTTAAGTGCGTCTAGAATCGCAAACCTTTTTACAACGACGGTTGATTGGATTATTTATTATTGATTTATTCTGTGTAAAAACACGCTCTGAATGATTTTCTTTCTTCCAGCATTGTTGCTTTAATTTTTTTGTGTTTTGCGGAATAAATGTTTTGTCATTGTCAATCAATTGAGTGTTTATTCGAATCCAAAGTGCAACCCAGATAGAGTTTTCACGTTCAGATTTATTCTATTGGTGCTGAAGGTGTTCAGGTGTTGTTCAAAATTTATGTAATAAATTCTTTGGAATTGGAGAAGTTGAACGAGGCCACAGAGTCTCTTAAATTGAGAAATTTTAAGTATTGGGAGGAGGAGGGATGATAAAATTTCAATTTTGATTTGTTTTGAGCACGAACCTCGATCAGAAAGTAGGCCAAGGTGATGCAAGGTGAATTCGTTTCCAAAGTCATCGGAGGCCAGTGCAGCCATTTTGTGTGATATTTCACTCTCAAGGTTACCAAAGATCAACGACCCCGTTTTTGCGGTGTCGCAATATACTCCTAAGGTCATTAAAGGTGAATGACCCCATGTTTGTAATGTAATTATTTTATTTTCAAGGCTCGTTTCAAGGTATCCAATGAACCTCCCCGTTATGGTTCCATACTCTACTTTCAAGGTCATCCGAGGGCAATGATTTTTTTGTAGTGCGATTTCATTTTCAAGGCAAGCAACGATCAATGACCCCATTTTTGTGTTGTTCTAGACGTTCGACTTCGCGTTCGTACCGTTAACCTTTGGTAACACTGAAAGTGAAATATGACAACAGAAAAAAGTGAATTGAAAGTATCGACCTTCGATGACTTTAAAACCGAATGCCCTTGAGCATCACCTCGGCCTACTTTCCAAGGTCACCTCAACGTCGCACGCTCCTTCCACTTTGTTCGACATTGTACATATGCTCATTTGAATTTGTTTTTCAGTGTTTATTTTTCCTTTTAGAAATCTTTGTAGATGCGTAATTTTTTTAAAAATTTTATCGCTTTTGTATATTATCCAATTTTAGATAAGGTGTTAGAAGTAAAGTACTGATCTGGTCGTTTGTGACAAGAAGTGTTTTTATCAGGCGAAATTTAATCGTGGCAGGCGTTTATCTAATCTAATTACGATTTGCGATTTTTTTTTCATTTCGCAATGGAGGAGTTTTATGGTGGAAGTGGTGCTTCCTTAAATACTGGAGACAACGAGAAGACGGGACTTGTTCTTTTTTTTTTGCGAAGTTATTTTATTTAAAAAGACGTGTGCGCATTAATTCCGACAGAATCCAAAGCGTGGGTGGTCGTGGCTTGTATTGCGTACGCCGCCTGTGGCTAAATTTCAGTCCTGGTTTATCTATGCGTTTAACCCGTTTGAAGGATTCTTCCTATTCATCCATGCCAAGAACCTCGCCAAGAACTTTTCATTTTCTTCACAATAGGATTTTGCAGGTATTAACTCTTCTGCTTCTGCAACAAGCAACTAAATGAACAGTGATGTTTATAAGCAAACTTCAACTGACATTTCCATGGCAATCATGGAATTTTGAATAAGCAGCCCACTTAATCAGAGATGCATTCGAGTAGAAAGTCGATATGATTTTATCTTATTTCTCTTATTTGTAAATTATATTGCAGATATAATAAAAAATACTATAAGACATAATTAGTTTTTAACGCATTTTAAAGACTTGATTATACACTCGTTTCTTAATATACTATTTAGTGGTTTTTTTTTAATATAAAAATAAAAGTTTGTCAGGTTGTAACAGTTGCAAGTAGTCACCAGGCGAATTATTAAGGTTCTTATAAGTGAACTGAATTTTCATGTAGAATAGTAAACAATATTTTAAATTCGCTATTTGTATTTTTGGATAAATCCGTTGGTCCATAGTGAACATTCATAAAAGGCAATTTAAATTCAACTGCTAATCTTCAAGTTATTACTGTACTGCATTCATTATAAGAAGGTAGTAGATGGCGCTGTGCTTGAAGACAAGCACACACAGGAAAAATATAAAACGGCACCAAATTATTGTAAAGTAGAAATATCCAATACTGCACACAGAAATAAATCTTTGACATTAACAGCTAATGACACTTCAAGAGTTTAGTTGACAATAAAAACTAACAGCTTGCAAAATTCTCCACTCGTTTTATGTTTCAGCGTAATACTGACTTGTGTTTTAACCAATCACAGTGAAGGTCAAAGCTTCCCTATGCTTTTTACCGCTACCTTCTTAAAATGAATACAGTATAGAGGTTCCGATCTGTAAATGTAAGCATGAGGTAGAGCACGACTACCTATTAATATGGTTTGATGTAGGAAGTGAACGAAGCTGTAATGAGGGAGTATCTACAACGAGTTTACAACAGCATTCACTCGCATCCTGATATTGTCAGTTTAGGTGAAGGTATACCTAAACTGTTTGTGGAACAAGCACAAAGTATCGTATTAATGCATAAGTAAGTATCCGTGTACATTCGCCCTTTATGCTCGAATCGTTTCCTAGGGCTTTAGAAAACGTCCAGCATAGACTTTTAAAATCGCAAGAAAACGTTAAAACAAGACTGTGCAACACCCACCCAGTTTTATCGCGAATAACGCCATGGTTACAATCGCGTTTGTTGGCCGCCGAGCAGAAATTTAAGAACGACAATCAGTGGAGCGGGCACGAGGAGGGTTTAACTTTGTGCAACTCCGAAAGGTTGCATCAGGCCAGCTACTTTCTAAATCGTGACCTCGCGTTTATGCGTGAGGTAAGTGTTCGTCAAGTGAGTCGGATTTCTAAATCCTATTTCAGCGAGAACCCGCCTTGCTACGCGAGTTACGTAAGGTCAAAACGCCGACGCGCAATTTTTTGTGGCCGACGCAAATTTGGGTGCCGACCCATTGGATTGTCCGACGCAATTTCCAAGGTCAGTCCGAAATTGTTCCTACTGTCTTAAGTAAGCAAGCGACGAGTATAACAACTCCTAGATCCGATCCTAGTCAGCCGGTATGCACGTTTCAATCGGTTGAAGCAATTCTATTCTTTTCTGTTACAGGTATTTTTAGTTGAAAAAGAAACAGTGCGTACGACGACCACCAGATGGCCGCTGTGGCGAATTTTTAATTACTTCCACCGTACCTGGTGTTGGACTTGGAACGCCGTATTCTTCTTTGGAATTATCCTACCGTGGTGCAGTCCGATCGGTTTGCGAGCCCTGTTTTGCATTGAACCATTCATGCCAGATTTGGAACTGTCACAAGTGAATGGCACTTTATTTCCTAGAAAAAGTAGCCTAACCGAGACGTTAACCTCGAGGTTGATAACGTTGTGGAGGCACATCTCGAAATCTCGAACGTACTTCGAAACAAAACCGGATACCGGATTTATAGGGAAGGGCTTCACGAGACACATGAATCGGATTTGGAATTATTTCATAAAAGGTTTATTCGGGACGATTGTCTTAATTGTAATTTTACCGATTGTTTGCATTGTTACCATTGTTAGTAGTATGTTTATTGCCGCTACTGCCGTGGCATGGATGCCTGCATTGACGTTAATAATACAGTTAACCAACGCCCTTATTTATGATTTGGATAGTCCCGAGCCGAAGAGGAATCGATTTTTTGTTATATTCGAAGCCGTCGTTTGGAATATATTGATAATGGGATGTCTGCAACCATTTCTCGCCCTTTTTGTTGTTTTAATCATCTGTCCAATTATTTCAATTGTCATCTTGGCAGGTACGTAGGTGGGTCATGCTTTTACAATGATTTTATTATTGATACTAAAAATGTTTATTTTACGCGCAATAGATTTGACTCGGTTTGAAGGACCAATTGTTAAAAGCTAACTGTAAAGCACAAAATTCGTTTATTGCATTATTTTACTCATATCTCGGTAATGAAAAACAATATTGGCATGCACCTCTTACACAAACAGTGCAGCACTTGATTGACATTGACCAAAGAAAAGTTTTTTTTTTACTACATCTTACCGTATTTCGTACTTTAGTATGACACAATAATTTCCAGCATTTTTTCATGATCGAAAAACTTTCTGAAGTCTCATCTTTTTTGGCCCCTTGTTAACTACAGATGCACGAAACTGTCTCATGCTACATAACAGCTGCTCTGTTCCACAAAAAAATGCAATGCCTATCATGTGTCCCTGCTAAATTTTACAATCAATGAAACAAAATAATCAAAAATCCTTTGCTGGATTCGATTCTTATCAATAAATTCAGTACAAAATCTGTTTCATACAAATAATTTCCTCGGGTCGATTCCTTTAGGAATATTAAAATTACTATAATCCTAAAAATAATCGACCACTACTTTATACAAATCAAAAAGTTTTAAATAACAGGAATTGACGTGAGTAATATTCTGGTAACAATTGATCTTACTTCTTTTTGGAAATATGGAAACAGATCGCTTCGAGGGTTCTACACCGCCTCGCGCGGCAACATTACCTTCATGACGAATGCAAAATTTGCCGGAACAAGGTTTGTATGAATCGCGAATCAAAGCAAACCGGTTACATATTCTCGAAACTAATATTCGAGATCGTGATTACGCACAGGAATAAAATGCCAATGTTCCGCTGTTTTGATATTAATTTTGCCCAATTTAGGTTTTTTTGCGGAAAAATGCATCGATTAATCGTCTTTAAATTCCCTGCCGTATGGCGTGTTATACAAAGTTTTATTTATCGCACGAGGCGGTGTCCAAAGACGTCGCTGAAAATTGGGGAACTTGCTTTAACCAGCGATCCGACAGTTCTAATGCCAGTGTATTTGCTCGCGGTTTGCTTTTAAAAGCGCTCCTACTGCCCGGAATTGTTTGTCTCACTACTCGAAAATGCACACGTTATCGCTTTTATTTTCAGATATACTTTCGTTCACGTTCGCTACGCAGCGGTATATGTGTAAATTTGACCGATGTAAATATCCCATATGGGGTACGCCATTTGTGTAAACTATATCAACCCACGTTAACTTGTTTTCCTGTTTTTATAAATCGGCAATGAAATCATTGTAAAAAACAACTTAACACGACTTCTGGCATTAACACATCCAACATTTTAGTGGGAATCTCTCGCTATTGGCTGAGATTATTGTGGGATTCGATCATTTTCCACTTAATAATAAAGAAACGCGGAAGAGTACCGGCGAGCGATAGCTTTGTGGTGAGGCGAGTGGCCGGACCGGGTTTGGCCTCCGACTATTACTTCCAAATACGTCCCGAACAGGCGCTGGCGGCGTTCGAGGCGAAAATGGAATGGGACGAACTCGCCGCCTACCAAATCGTAATGGAGCAGACGATTTTGCAGCCGCAAAAGGACTTTAGTCAGTTTGTGGAGGCATGTTTCGGTAGTTTCTCAACACAGCTGTCCAAAAGTGGGCCGTACAAGGTTCTGGAGAAGGAAGGGCAAGATTTGATAGCGGTTCTACACGAGAAGCTGGAGAGGAGAAGGCGCGACCTACAGACTGGGCTAAGTGTCAGTATTAAGAGTAAAATTAAACTGACAACTGCCGACTTGAAGGTAGGCGACTTTGCGTAGGTTCGCTAATTGTGAGCAATACTTGCAGATTGCGATTCAACAAGGTGCGCTCATGTTGGAGCGTTTCTACCCAGTGCGCATTTTGCCTAAGTTGGGTTGTACGGAGGAACAATTTTGGGAGAGCCGCGGCTTGAGTGCGGGCGATTGGGCCGGATTGGCCAGCCTTCTGTACTCTGAATTATTCAGCTTGGATATTCTGACGCCCCTCGATCACACCGATACGAGTTTCCGGTTGGACCCGGATCCGCAAGCCGACCTGAGTCGGTACACTGACATGGTTCATAGTGCTCAGTTGGGCGCAGGCGGTCCGGATCTGCTTGGTAACGTATATACACCACGGGGAAACATTCAGGTTCACTCGCCATATCTTGAGGTGTCCGCTTTTAATCCGCGCTCTAAGTGGTCTGCGACTGGGAAGAAAGTGGAGAAAAAGTATGATCGTTTGTGTTAGTCAGTCAATCAATTTGGGGTTTTAGTGAGTCGAAATCTGCGTTGGGGTCGTTAAAGGAAGGAACGAGAATTAGTTTGTTGATGCCTTGGAAGAAACAGCTACACCCGTGCATGCCCGATAAGTTGGTGATCCCACTGCCCATACCTCATCCGGCGCATATTGCCATTACAATCTATAATCGCGATTCTGACGATCCTATTTTATTGGAATCGGAAACGTGTCAAAATATCCTACGGGGAATTGAAGAAAGTCACTCGTCACCTGATGATATTGGTAAGTCTCTTTTTTTGCATTATCACATATTGTTACGGATGTTGTAGGTATCAGCAGGTATCGTGGAGGAGGCGATGTTTTTGAAACTGCAAGTTCCAGCTCAGAGACAATTGAAAGTGTAGATAACGGTCTTGATGACGTCAAGCAGAGCCAATCAATTAATCAAGATTCGACAGACGGCGTCTACCAATGGACGCTTAGAGATTGGGGTCAGCGCAAAAGAAATAATTCAGGTAGCATCAGGGTGGATTTGGCGAGTCCTGAGGATGTCACCCTCGATAGCGATAGGGTTGTTTTTAGTACGTACGGTACCACTGTTTGATCAGATTTATGTAACGTAAGTAGCTTTATGTGATTTATTGAGCACTGAACTTTTCAAATGTCAATGTAGGGTTATATCATATTTTGAGTTAGGTGTTGTTTTAGAAATTATGCTCAAGGAATATGGTTCAATTTGATACATAGATTTTTGAGAAGTACCTTATACAAATTGCCTTTGTATTCATTTATAACGTTATTGCAATTAGAGATGCTTATAGGTATTGCCTGGTCGGGACCGGGGCGATTTTGCCGAATAGCAATGGTCCATTTTGAAATTCTTGCTGGAGCTCTTCTTCATGCATGTTCCTCAAAGTTGGGTATGGAAATTTTTTACGTTTGCAGTAGCACTTGATAGAATAATTGATTAACAGTCAATAAGTCAACACCAGAGTAATCCAGAGAGTGCCCCAAAGTTCAAAATCTATTCAGTTCTTATTTAATTCACAGCTTATCTGTGGGCGTGGTCATAACATATTAATTCTAAGGAGGTAGGTATTACTAAAGTCACTAGATATAGAAAGTACCGCAATCATCCGCCATTTTTGGGCAAATTTGCTGCCAACTTAAAAAAATTGACAAATAAAATCTGAATAGCTGTAATTTTTGATAACCTAACTTCATAGTACTGTCATGTTCTATAAAAATATCATTGAACTATATACTCTGTAAATGGAACGGAATCGCCCATAAATCAGCCACTGCCAGGGGCCGTGGCAAATTTTTGTGAGAGAGAGATGGGTAGAGGTAGGTATCCCTTACCTTGTTCCACTCATGTGGGCTTATGGGATGGTTTATACTACGTCTTACATTTTGCTTATTTTTATCTAAAATAAGTTATTAAGAGATTTGCAAGAATGGTCATGAACTGTGTTGCATATACGTGCAATCATTTTTATAATAAAAATTCAAATATTCAATTTCATGGGTACGTTTTGATAACATTTTCCAACCTCGACGCACGCATTTATTATTTTTGCGCATGACGGGATTTGCACCGCTCAGATTTCTTTACTAATGTACAGTCGTGGTCAGAAGTAATGTCCTCCCTTAGAAACTGCAACTGTAGAAAAAGTACCAATGTGTCAGTTTCTCCGTGATTTAGTTCAATTTCATTTCAATCTTAGGCATTTTCCTCATGTTGAAAAGAAGCTCAAATCTCACAGGAGATCCGGTATATTAATTATGTGCTACACTTGAGATAATCGAGGGACATTACTTCTGACCAAAACCGTACCTCACACTCATTTATACTGTCCTTATGAATGATAATTCTTCTTTCGCACTCTTTAATACTAATTCAATAGAATATTCCACTCGCCAGAGAGTATAATGTGAAGAAAAGCGTTAACGCCGCCAAAACCTATAAAGCCGTTTTGACTTACTAATTTGAATATGAAGTTCCTTATTATTTAATTTTTCACTCAACGTTATTATTGATACTGCTCACTAATGGGGCGAAAAATACCTTTAAGGATTATTTTTATTATTTATTACCTATTCCTTCGGCCTACATTGAACGTACATTAGGTAGCGTCAAAGAGTAAAGATAAAATATAAAAGCATACACATATCACACATGTACATATATCACAAAAGTTAAATTAGAAAATATCATGGTTTGCATTTTCTACATCCATATCTATCCACATATGCTTTAATGGTTTAGAAGCAGTTATATATGAAGAACTTTTTTCATTTCCCTACGAAATATTCCGAAGGATTTGCAGGTCTTGAGTTTTTCCAATGTATATACAATGGTTTTTCTGGGGCCAAGTTATAAAGGTGAGTTCCGGAAAATATGGGAGACCTTTTGTAGAAGGTGTAATTCTGCCCTCACATAACTCGGCGTAAGGTTCATCTTGGGCATTTTGGGTTATACAGGGTGATTCCTATAGTACCTGCCACCGTTTGGGAGCGTATAGGGGGTGCCTAGGGGAGTATTTGATATAGGACACTTGGGGTCGGAAATCTAAAATAAGGGCGCCAGAACCAAATTTATCTTCTGGAATTTCACGCCTGTATGTAGGCAACCCAACCGACCGACGTTTCGCGCGGAGCGATGCAGAGCGAGTTAGCGCGAGGAAGCGACATGGGATTCATGGCTCAGTGGTAGAGCATTGGGTTATGAATCCGAAGGTCGGGTGTTCGAACCTGGGTTGAGGTGAATTTTTCATCTGTGGCGGAGATGGAAATTACCTTGGACCAGCTCCGAGCATTCTACCGGCTACTCCGAATTAGGTTTTCCTGCAGTTTTCCTAATTCGTAAGGTAAATACCGGAGTAGTATAGACCAACTTAAGACCTTCTGCAGAGGCACCTCTAAATAGCATTATGCGGGTCACTCTGTAATTGGGCGCATGCCTGTTGAGGGCCCAAAACAAGAGAGGGATAATAATAATAATAATAATAATAATGGGAGGGAAGGAGGGAAAACGACAGTCAAAACTATAGGAATCACCCTGTATAAGTAGCGCAATGCCTTATAAACCCTCTGGTCCAATTACCGTGGTTAGATGCGCCAGAAACCTTTCGCTGCTCATCAACGAAATTTGCACTTATGCATTACTCAAGCTGCTCGCTGTGGATGTTCCAATGGGTATTTGTCCTCAATTCTTCGATACTGTCAATGGCACCACCAACACTTACAACTCGTCTGTTTGGTAGTTACGTTGGATGTGTCAAGGTATAGTTGCGAAAACAAAGGATCCATCGGACTGTTGGACAAATTCCAGTCTCGTACGAGAAACAAACGTTCCATAAGACCAGCATAAGACATTCGTGTCAATTCGTTTCCATCTAATGGCAATGCGGTGACCACTATGAGTAAATTGAATTTTTGCTCTTAGAGTAACCATGATTCTTAAATTCATTTTATTCTAAAAGAAGTGCTTTTTTAGATTTACGTTTACCTTGACGCCAATTGTAATATATTAGGTACCTACCTCCTTGCTAATATATTATGTAAAGGGTACGTTACAAACGAACACAACCAATGTTTATAACTTTATTTTACGTTAATAAGCAAATGGAATGCGTTGAGCCACCATGAATGACATTATTGACATTATACTTTTGTAACTTCAAGAATCAAGTATGTGAGTGTGTGAGTGAGAAATGGCGCAGTTTACCACATTATTAAGTATATATTTTAAGATATTCCATTCACAAATAGATATTGGCACTTATAAAAGCTTCGACAAGCATTTATCTTTATCTTTCTAAGGCCCCAACCTCCCAGTTTATGTACTTATCTGTATTTTTAACCAAATACGTGTGATCGGTCCTGCATATGCAATACAAAACAACGTGCCAGACAAGGATGAGAATACCTACGTTATGCTAGTTGCCTAAAATCATTGCGGCACGCGATTTTGGCGCTCGATGCCGTTCCAGTTACAGAGTATATAGTTCAATGAAAAATATATACAGATATCTCCAAACAGGTGGAACAATCCCTAACATTACAGTTACTAGAATCTGATAACTTCCGCCATTTTTTGGCAAAAATCAGGCGTTCTCTCTCTTACACACGAGCCCAACGGATTGCGGTACTTTCTATATTTAGTGACTTTAGGTATTACATCTATAGCAAGCTTTTCCTTAGTTTGCGCACACGTCAGCGGTATATTATGAAGTCATCACTGAGTATGTTTACATAGCATCATGCAACCAATGGAAGAGAATAGCTGGCCATACACATAGAGGTTGATCCGTCGCTGGTTTAAACTGCGACAGATAAATGTCAGTTTGATGTGTCACTGTCATGGTTAAATCTGGTTGTCACTGTGGTACTTGATACCTAGAGCTAAAGTACCTTTTAGATATCTGCATGTCCTTTTCACATTCCGCCAACCACTTTTAGCTGGGTTCTGCAGCTGTCTGGATACTAGTCCTACAGCAATGCTATGTCTGGACATGTTCCGACCATGAGATAAAAGCATCTACTGCATCTCTGTGTGGAAAATCCTTCTGTACAGGATTACATAATATGATGCAAAGGAAAGTGGATGATGTAGATCCATTATGCAAAAGCGCTTCAGAATCTTCTTCATATAGGATTCTTGCTTTATTGTAATGGATCCGTCAGCGTCGCCTACTTGCTCTATCTCTAAACTTAAGTAGAATGATGCCGGTTTTTCAGTAATCTTCAATTTTTATCTCAGATCAGATAAAAAGTCATGTATGAGTTTCTCATCACTTGCTGCTAAAGACCATCAACAATCAGCGTCACTGTACTTAAAATCCATTTCAAGAAGGATCTCTTTAGAGCAGCAGTTCCAGCACCTTGGTACTTGTTTCAAACGATACAAGGTTTAGTGTAATCAACAGACCTTTGAAGATCAATCACTTGTATTTTCCTTCTAAATTTCTGATTTGAACTTTTGTCGAAAATCTTTCCATCTTGAACATGTTACGTACCTTATTACTTCTCCAGTCCTGGGCCCATAACCTGTTCGCTTCACTTTTAGTGCAACAGTGAAATTGGAGCGTGTATAGAATTAACTCATCTCTTTGAATGGACATTCTATTTTCTAATGACAGCATTGACAGCAGTAAAAACATTTTTCATAATTTGTTTTAAACAATATGTCGATGGTATTAAGTCATAAAACCATAGTAACTAACTTTTACATTATTAAACCATCATCAATGTAACCAGCTTTAATAATGAACGCCGATATACATGCAACCATTGAACGTGTGTTTTAACTAAATGGAGTTTCGAATCGCTGCTTGTGTGAAACTATCAACATCGCTAACAAGTTTCTTACATTGGCTTGTTTTTTAGGACTTTCTAGAGGTTTGTCCAATTTAGAAATTTGTTAAATAGGAGTTACCGTTCGCAGGGTAATATTTAACGCATCTCTCTTACTGCTGCAAATAATAAAAGTGGACCACCATTATCTCTTTCTCGAATAAAATTAATATGTTGCTTACTTTTTCTTAGTTAACTCGATTTGGGTTATACCACTTTTGGCGCAGAATATCGCAGTGAGGCTTATGGAAGAAATGCTTCTATATTTTGATCATTATGAAACTAATGGATTCTTTATCGGCTAATGTAGCAAAATATGATAATATAATGAAAATGGTAGCAAACGTTTGTCAAATTTCACGTGCCGCAATGTAAACATAAACTACTACAATTTCGATTGACAGGTAGCGTGAAAACAAAAAAATAATTACATATGACCGATACATCTATCTTTCTCTTTCAGGGCCAACTGTGAATTTAAATTTTGTTACTCACTTGGTGTTTTCAAGCATTTTACAAACGACCAGATGTACAATACTCACGCTACTTAATAATCATGTTTTGATTTTTTTATAATAATAATAATATATTTTAACCTTTTAGCTGTAGCTATTTAACAATAGATGAGGCAAGTCAGTACAAATACATATAGTATATATAAAATAACAACAGATAAAACACGAATGAGACAACAATTTAGAAATTAACTCATTACAACAAATACTACGTGCATTCTTATTACTTTTTGAATCAATGGTTCTGAAAATGATGTTTAAGGGTCGATTCTACAATGCAGGTATATACCGAGAATAAACGTCAACGGTTATGTTGGGTACCATTGCCTCAACCAATAGAATATAGGTTGCTATGGCAGTTATTCCAAGGATATCTTATTCAGTGTAAAGATGTAATTGTAGAACCAGCCCTTAGACTCTCTTGGATTAGAGTAATTTTTGACATTGTTCCAATCAGTATGTGCTACATTTAACAAACTTCTTGAGTCATTCCCACGAACTTATAAATTAAGATGGACTGCTAATGCTGAATTGACAAATGACACCTACATGGGGGCAGCCATGATGTGCACTCACTTGGCGCGAAATTCAAATCAGCTAATAAACCAGCATTAACCTCTCGTTTTCTAAATAAATTACTCTGACACATGTCATTTTCCAAGGCTGCAATAGTCTCAAAACTTGAGCACTAGGAAAATTCCCCTAGAAAATAACTAAAACGTGCACCTCATGGCCGCGCCCATGCTAGGGCCATTTCTACCTCTATGCAACTGTTTGATCAGCAGTCCATCTTAATTTATAAGTTCGTGGTCATTCCTTTAACTTAACCTTTCATAATTTGATACTGCAAAAACAAAAGAAAATTTCCAATGCTTGCTATGTAAATAGTCTAGCATTTTTTGTATCTTTAGATAACCGAACCTCTCATTGCAAATGTTTCACATTACGCAAAGAGGCTAGAATAGCTTTGGGATATTACGGCAAAATCGTCCTAGCCCTGTCCGTTCTTAGACTGTGTCCGTAAGGCATTTCTGTTTGTAAACTGCCAGAATCTGTGCGTGACTTTTGACGTAGAATATATTCAATATGGTATATCTCAGGCTACCATCATGTGTGATAAGTAAATTGAAATTTTATTAAGGCATTTAAGTAATTACATGTATGCATATCGATTGCGAGATGTATGGCCCGGACAAGTGTGAACTTAACTTTTTTGCGACTTTCTCATGTTAGTTGGTTTGAATTTATTGGCATATTTATACCTCCAAGTGGTCCTTAAGTCCTATAGTAAGTTATACAACTGAAAAACGGAATTTGTCATATTTAAACTAATTGATTTAATGTCGAAAGTTGTATAAACGTATAGGACTTTTGGCCTATGACATTCTACACAATAAAGAGACAACAGGAGAAATTTATAAATCACAGCCGTTTCTTTATTAGTGTGGAAAGTGAATGGCGTTTGTTGTGATTTAACAATTTAGGCAGGTGCACGTTATACGTATTAATTTAACGACACGTGATTGTATTCCATCTTAATTTTATTATTATTACTCGCTGAATGCTTTTTAATTGTTGCGTCTTTTTGAATTTTATACTTACTGTGATAATTTAGTCAGTTTTAAATTCGTAGATGTGCTTTTTTATGTACAAAAGAAAAAAAATGAAATTTGTTACGAACTGAAAAATGATTATGCATGACATTATCATAAATGGTACAAGAAAAAGTAGAGGTAATATTTTGTAGTTTAGAATTTATAAGATATACATTATCTATTTTGGAAAAGTAGCGAAGTAAGGAGAAAACTGTTATACAAGCGTAATTAAGTCTTGCTTCCATTGTAATATTTAAGAAAGGTGGTTGCGTTTATAAGAATCTATGATTTGTTTCTTATAAATGTCGCAAATGAGGCTTCTAGGGTTGAGTCTTTCGGCGCAATTGCATTTAATGTTGTGCAAACAACAATGGAGAAATGTTTTTAATAATAGGCTTGAGAGTAGAAATCGGAGTTTTTATATTCAAATAACTGTGCTAGCAATCATCCAATGGTGGCCATCCTCATTTCATTGCTATTATTCTCTCATACCAAATTAGAAACAGATTATATTGATTGTTACATTTTACAGTAATTTTAGATTCTAGTCACAAGCAAGAGTGTACATTTTATATTCTATGAATATTGTTTTCCTTTTTTGTTTTTTATTACCCAATTTTATTGGATAGGATTTGTATGTGGAAATTTGTAAATAAAAATTATTTCTAACATGAATTATAATTTTGTTATATTACACCAGCGGTCTCCAAACTACTATCACTTCGCATAATTTGACTTCGAACGAGTCTGCAGGAATGATGTTCAAGAATACAGCTGAAAATATGATCAGTAGGCCTGCGGGAAATTGAGAAGCAATTAATGTACTGTTGAAAAGTTTGGAGACCCCTGTATTCGACGAACCTCATCTTAGTAGGCAGGCACAATACATCTTTTAGTAACTGAAATAACTGTTGGGTGAGGGCGCTTCACGATTTGTAATTCGCGAATGGGTCACTGTTGTTTTCAACACAGTCACAGCCTGCTTTATGCTTTCAGTACCACTGCGCCAATACAATCTTTCTGTGTGTAATGCCTGAACGAACAGAGGGAATGGATACCCAATTAAACTGTTTTTATTGCAATGTATGTGCAGCACCAGAGACGCTTTTTGACCAAAAAAACGCAGAAAACTGAGCAGGATAAAAACTGGAAGAGCAAGTGGTGGCTTCATGGCACGCAATTGTTTCCTAAGATCCCGTATAAGGTTAACGTTCGCTCATCGGATTACTGAGTGAAATACATTTTTTAGCAATTGTAACATGTAACGAAATACATTGCAAATGGTTTGCTTAGCAAAATTAAGTCAAGACTAACCTTAATTAAAACAAATGTAATGAATATTACTGTCCGCTTCTATCACATGGTTCGCTCTCTTACATCGATGCGTACACCACGAGCAGCTATTACTTTGCGTCCTTCTCTTTCACATGGAACAGTATGATTGTCACAATTTTAAATAGCGCGCAAGCAAGAAACATGTGTATTTGTTCTGTGTGAAGATAAGGGCGCGGCGTAACAACTGCTCGTGATGTAGTGTAGGCATGAAATGTAAGAGAGTACGCATGCGCTCTCTCCATGTGATAGAAGCAGACAGGAATATTAATTTTAATTAAGGGTAGTCTTGACTTAATTTTTTTAGGCAACCATTTGCAATGTGTAAGATTGCTAAAAAATGTATTCCAAACGTAGGATTTACCAAATTCTTTGCTCCTATTGCTTAAGTGATACTGACCAAATAGAACAGAGGATTGAGGAGCATCATTTAAGAATACGCGCGTCAAGAACCAGCAGTTGCGGGACTCGCATTTGAGAATATAAAGGCTCTGACTCGAACACCACACGATAACTAGCCCTTATGATCAGGGAAGCGATCGACACACTCATAGGGAAGACAACTTTAATCTTACTGGGAACCTGGACCCCGGTCATTAATACTCTGCAGGATACTGGGGAAAGAATGTAAATTGTGAGATCAGAGAACATCTCCAATTTCCTGCACTGCCTGTCTAGCCAATTATACAGACAAACCATCCCATTCCTATCTCTGAATATGCCGACTGTATACCTATAATGTCTTAGGAAACATTTAAAAGTTTGGTCTTACAAACAGCAGTCTGCCTCGCCAAAACCTAATTGATTTGCGTTTAATCCTGAGCTTTGGTATTAAGACTAAAACCTTTGGCACTATCCAATCCCAGTGGGATCTAAGATAATCCCGTGCTAATACGGGATTATCATTTTGTACCTTATAAACTTGCTTATAACCATTATGAACAAACATTATTATTTAAACTCAGAAGCGGAATCCTAATTTACATAGTCCCGGGCTTTGGGGTCTATTGTATCTCTGCAACTTTACAGTTTCGGTCCCTCTTAAGATGTATCCTTTAAGAGGATCTACTTTGAGGCCGATCTGTGCACGTCTTTTCATTCGACACACGTCCTGTTCAATCTCCCTTATGAGTATCCTCCTCTGACACTCCGCCCTTGAGATATGAGGGATAATAACCAATCACCCTGATCCTAGTGACACTGTCTAATTGGGGTATAAACGCACCCACTATGCAGCCAATCAAATGTCTTAACACCCGGATCAGTGATAATCACATGTTATCATTATCATTATTTTTGTGTAACTGGAACCTAGATTTTATAGCTCACAACTATCGTGAGCAAATATGTTTTGCCTCACAAGAAAGGCATGGTATAATAGGTGTACTGAAAAATAATTTATTTCAACCCGTAGCAATACTTTGAAAGCTTAACTGTATGATGTGTTGCCTAACGTATGTTCTTAGAGACCTTTGGACACATAATATAAAACATATCTTTCATTTAGAATGAATTATATTTATTTATTGAATTTATTTCAGTAACCGTACACAAAATGAAATTTTAACTAAAATTGTACCAAGTATAATCTTTAGAGGTCTTGTTTACACCCACCCTGTACATATATACACATACCCAATGAAAACGGTTATTTTAAATGTGAAACCCCCAAAGAAGACCCGCCACTGGCAAAATCAAATTAAAAATAAAACAAATGAATATTACGGAATATACGTTTGGAATGAAGTGCTTGGAGGAAAGGATGATAACAAATCGTCAGATAATAGGGTTTTGTATGTTGGAAAGCGTATCTTTAGATATAGATTGGGAAGAATCGATTGAAATTGTTGTTGTTTTTTTATGAATTGGTGCATCCTTAGTTGCATTAAAACCAAAACAGAATTGTCCTTGACTATTCAAAATTCGGAAATGTTAACGGTCACGTGATAAGAGTATTGAATTTTAATTGGCGATTCGGAAGCGTGCCTTGCGCATTGATCGTGCGCGCTAGTGATTACAAAATGCCGTCGGAGTCTAAACCTTTGTTGACAACTCAACCAGAGAAACCAAATCATTATTCGTAAGTATATTTTTAGTGCATTAAACGTATCATGACGTCAACTGTACTAAATTGGGCATATTTTCGAATGCATATATATGTGTAGATCACTTTCTCGTAGATATTTGAAGGAATTCCGCGTCGAGCAATGCCCGCTTTTCTTACAACACAAATGTACACAGCATCGTCCATTCACATGTTTTCATTGGCATTTTATGAATCAAAGGAGAAGAAGGCCTGTCCGAAGAAGAGATGGCACATTTAATTATAGCGCCGACAATTATTGCACAAAATACGACGAAACGACGGGAATTTGTCCTGATGGAGATGAGTGAGTACACCTTTTTTTGGTTAACCTGTCTGTTTTGGATGTTGTGGGTGTGACATTTGAAACATTTCACTTTATTATCTATTTTCAACACATCTCTCAACAAAAAAATGGCCTTTTTATTTTTATCGTCCACTAACTTGACCTTACCAATGTAAACAGATCCTACCTCAATCAAATTAAAATGATGATTTTTAGCTGTCCTTATCTGCATCGCACAGCTGGAGATACTGAAAGGCGATATCATTTACGATATTACAAAACTTGTATGTGCGTCCACGACACCGATTCAAGAGGGTACTGTGTTAAAAACGGACTGCACTGCGCATTTGCTCACGGCATAAATGACCATCGGCCGCCGGTTTACGACATTAAGGAAATCCAAGCGCTCGAAGCGGCAGAAACGGAAGGCAACAATGCAAACGGGCCAAACGCCTTGGATAAGGAACGTAATTTAATGAACGAGGATCCTAAGTGGCAAGGTACGTCGTTACAACCGTAAACGCAGCATTAATCGCGTTCAATTCCAGATACAAACTACGTGCTGGCCAATTATAAAACGGAACCGTGCAAACGACCGCCGCGATTGTGTAGACAAGGCTACGCCTGCCCACAGTATCACAATAGCAAAGATAAAAGGCGAAGTCCTCGGAAATTTAAGTACAGGTCGACGCCGTGTCCGAACGTGAAGCACGGCGAAGAATGGGGCGAGCCGGGCAATTGCGACTCAGGCGACTCCTGCTCGTACTGTCACACGCGAACCGAGCAGCAATTTCATCCTGAAATCTACAAAAGTACAAAGTGCAACGACGTTCAGCAGTCTGGGTACTGTCCGCGTGGCGTCTTCTGCGCATTCGCACATGTCGAACGTAAGCGATCTGACTTAATAATAATTATCTCCCAACAACAAAAATATTTCTACACGGGGTGTTCGGCCAAGTCGATTATTATAAAGGAAATTTGGATGTCTGGTACGTTAAGTTAATGCAATGAGTCTCGATTAAAATATTTTTAGTTTTGCCGGAAGTGACCCAACATATTCATTTGTTAATGCCAGTCACAGAACCGGCGTCAGGTGTTCTGTGGCTGGCTTTTTTCATAATCATTGTAACATTTTGAATTTTTAGTTGCCTTTGATTTTTTATCAAAACTATCAGGAAACAAATGCCATCGTGTCACAAAACAAGATGCAAATTAATTTTTTTGCATAATTGTCAATTACCGGACTTTTTTTGTCAAAAAATCGTGGAAGGTGTCGCACAATAGGTAAGAAGTAGGTCTCTTTTGAGCAACACTTTTTTTTATTAGGTTTAAGTTGGGCTTCTGAATTGGTATCGTTCGCTTCATTAAAAACATAGTTCTCATTGGGTACAAAAATGTCTGGGTTTAATTTACTGAAGTGAAGGGTCGCGATTTTGCTTGGCGGAATAATTCCAGAAGCAACATCTCATAAGATAATTTATCCAAGGTGAATTTTCATTTTTTTTTAAATATTGCTACCTACGAATGTAATAAAATTTATTTATTTTGTTTTAGTTTATTTTATTATCTGAAATAATCAGCCCATGGGTTTTCAGCACCCCTTTTTTTTTGTATCCGGAACTGAAACGTCAAAGTTTAATAATACAGTAGATAAATTTTTCTTTAGAGCAGGTGGCGCAGCGGTGAAAACTTTCTTTATCATCGGAAATTCTGATCATGAATCTTTGGGGGAAGAATTTTTTTGGAGGCCACTGATTGTTTTGTGAGCGAATATACTCCAGGGGAAGAGTTTTCTTGCAGAACCGAATTTACCTGGGGAGAATGTTTTTGGAGATGAGTATTCCAGGGGCAAACTTTCACAAGATAGTGCGGGAGGCAAATCTTTCTGATTTCATAGATATACAGAGTGTTTCTAAATATGATCTAAATTCGTTGGCATATTTTATGACTAAAAGTTCGTATACATATAGATCGGCAAACGCTTCGTTACCAATCTACGGGGTGTTATAATTTCACTGTACACTTTACAAATACAAGAGATTGTGCAAATAGAACCAGGGTCTACTGGATCATTTTAAAAATTTTCCTTTCATTTTACCAACTACCGAAACTTGATTTTTATTTTTTTTTCTGGATAACTGTCGTAAATACGAAAAAATTTCGAGAGACCAAAAAGGTTCCAAAACAAAATTCTTACTTTACAATCTACCACTGGCGCACCGAAAAGAAGTTCAGTAGTAGAAAGTGGAACATGACCCCTGAAAAAACACCTTATAGATTCTCACTACCATTGACATGAGCAATACATCACTGGCCTCTCAGCAGGAGAAATAAAGAAAAAACTTCAACTTTTGCATCCTTTGGTAACACAAAGCCTTTGCGAATTTATATTTATATGAACATAAAATAAGGCAAAAAATTGGCTCCATCCGTATTTACCTCATAACACCCTGTATAATATGTTGACGGTTTCTTTAGCCGTTTATGAAATATTTGGATTTATTTATTTTTATAAATTTGGGTTACATTTTATTTATTGACAACAAATATTAAAAAGTAAGGTTGACCTAGGTTTTTTCCAGGGTAAAAATAATAATATATTAATAAATAATAATGGCCATTTGTGTTATTATGGTAACTGCGATTTCGTAAAACAGTTTGACAATATACTATAAATACTAATATTTAAAAAACGACTAAAGCAAATGTCAACATATATATTTTTGAAATGAAGGAAAAATATACAGAGCGTTCTATTAAAAATTTACCAATTTCCTATATTAATTTGTTGCTTTTTGTACTTTACATTTTCTGGCGATTTATGATAAATCCCTTTGTATTTTAAGTTTTTTTCTATGTCTTATAATAATCACGTTGTCTAAATATATGGAATAACCCTGTAGAGCAGGCGGGGCGCCTCACCCCGATAAGTTTTGACCGACTCGCTAATATAATTCATATTTAATACTTCATACGGCCCGCCAAGTTATATTAAAAATTCAAATTAATTAATTTTGGAAGGGCTAACTGTTGGTAAACGATATAAAACCTGAGGTTGGTGTCAGGAAAGGTTTTTTTGTTTAAACACAACAAACAAATAAAATTGTAAATAAAAAACATTTATTAAAAAAAAGTTTTTTGTGTACCTCACAATTTATTCTCAATAAATGCACAATTCGCTAAAATCGGCAATCAATAGATGGCGCTGTAAAACAATAACCAACATCATCAAACTTAAACGATTAATATACGCATAAAACAACACATTTGACTAAAGCAGTGCCGGGTTAACCATCAGTCAGAGTAGGCAGCTATCTAGGGTCTGATGCCGTTGGGGCGCTCCATATTTTTTTTTCAAATATCTGGTCGTTATTAGGGCCACTTGTAGTTTGACAGCCCTAATTTAAGTTATTAAGAATACCTTAGAAAGAGGGGAAACAACTTATTTTGATAGTGTGAGTACTAAGTTATGTCCTTACCTACAATGTGAAAAAACTCGAGATTTGACATGCTGTTGCTGATCCAAGTTTCATTTAAAAACAAAAAATGAGATTAGGCAAATTGCATTGATATTCTGCTAATAAATATTATGCCAAAGTTTTTGTTGTTGGGAATTTATAGGATTTTTTTGGTTGAGCTTAACAATTTTTCTCATTTCACAGAGGAGATGGGGGTTTCTAGAGATAGCGCACCGTTAGACGGCGGCACGAATCTTGCCGAAATATTATCCAACGCTCTTCCTCAATCGCTAGACAAAAAGGAAAAAAGTAGTGAAAGTTCGGTAAGTTTTCCCTCTTCTCGAGTCCGGTAATTATTGTTCCCATTACAGAATGGAAGTGGAGAAGTGTCCGAGTCAGGTTCAATGTCTTCAATAGGTTCAAATAGTAGTTCCCATAATAAGGCCCCCGGGTCGCAACTAACGCATAAGTCTTTATCTTACAGTAGGGCAAGTAATTCGTTGGGAACGAGACGTGAATTAACAAAGCAATTATTGGCTTTAGATAACGATATAACGTTAGGTATGTATATTTTGAACCTCGTTTTGAACAGTGTGGTTATGTATACTTGACTTTCAGATGCTTTGGAACGAGAGCAGCGGAAGCAAACGTTGTGTCTAGCGTATACTGGAATAGGACCTCCAGTCTCTTATTTTAGTACCGGGAATGATACTGTTGAGAGTGTAGTTGGTAGGTGTTTTTTTTTATTTCTACGTTACCCTTCCTCCCCTTCAGTGTGGCATATCAATTTGCTGTGATCTATATAATTTGCCATTTCATTCTTTAATAAATAATAAAATTGCCTGTATTAAAACTATATTCATGTGGCGCTTGTACGACACAATGTTATAGTCGTTGCACTTATTATTTTTTTTATTTATTTAGGAGTTAAGAGGTGAAGGTTTCTCTAAATTTTTCCTTGTTTAGGGGGTGTCCGGGGAGCGTCTGGGCAGGGTCTCATTTGTAGTCCAGCTTTTAGGATACTGGCACGGCTGAAATGATAAATATTTTATTTGGTTTGATTGTCGGTGTGAAATTTCACTAGACCTGGCAACATTGCGCTTGCAATAGACAATTTTTATACAGGGTGTTTGGTTTTTTGTACTGCCCTAAACTACAATTTTTTATATGGAACACCCTATGCAGTGTGTCCCAGATCGGGTGAGATTGCATGGGTAACTTTCTTATTATTAAAGATAGAGAATTGGTTAAATGGACAATGTTTTGCAGTTTTAGATCCTTATTTAAAATTTCCTTGTGGAAATTCAAAATGTCGAATAGGTTCGATGTAAATTCAAAAAAAATTAAAATTGGTCATTTCCTTTAATGTCTTATATCATCGAAAGTACAAGAGATGCAAAAAAGTTTTATATAAAAGTCTTTAATACGCCTAATTTAGAATTGATGTCAAAACAAAATTCAAGATGGCTACCTTTGAGGAATATTTACCAACTTCCTAAAGTTAAATAGGCGCCATATTGGATTTTTGGATTATTTGATAGATTTTTTAATTCTCTTTTCAACGAGCTATCATAGCATAAGATTGAAAATAAAATACCAGTTATATCAACGGTTTTTGTATTTTAATCAAGTAGGCTATGGTGAATTAAAAAAAAAAGCAAAACAAAATCTATTCGAGGCAACAAAACGATGAAAATAATTACATCAGATGTTTAAAATATCAGGGGCGCACTCATGGGAGGGGGGTTTGAGCGTTACAACTCCCTCCAAAATTTTATATAAGGTGTGCAGGTGTCAGGTTAAAGTGTAACGATTTGCCGATCGTGGAGGAACTCACATATAATAATTGTCATATATTTTTGTTTGTTTAATAAACTACTTCATTACAAACATAAATTTTTTTTTTGGGACGTAATGCACTTAGAATGCAAGACTACAAATCAAATACTGATGATGTATAGTTGAAGTGATCAGATATTTGTGAAATTTTGCATATGGACATAATTTCGTATTCTAAACAACTTTTTTAAATAACAGTTCGCTGTATTATTGACAGAAATGGCACTTTACCTAAACATCAAATTATTTTTTTCTTAATGCCACGGCCATCTTGGATTTTAGAAAGCAAAAAACTGAAATTATTTTTCGATCAAGCAGGCCGGTATTTATATTGAATATTATTTGCAATTGCATTTCATACATTAAAATATTTTTATTGCAGACATCTAGGTTTCTATGACAAACGATAGATGGCAGGATTGTTTAAAACGAGAATTCCTTGCTTATCGGAAGATATTTATTAGTTCCAAACATTTTTAATGCCAAATAAGATACAAAAAACGACTCTGGGGGGCTAATCCAATGGTCCCCGCATTCTCCAGACCACCTCTTTTTTTCTCTGGCGTAAAATCAGAGAGACCTCCAGTAGTTTAGCCAAAATCAATTATCTTTAATAAGAAAGTTTTTGGGGCATTAAACAAATCGACTAAATTCGTGAAACGTCCCCTAGCGCCCAAACGATTAGAGATAGCTGAATTCTGTTAGTAAGAAAGTAAATGAATATCGCATTGTTAGTCAAAAATGCAAGTGCAAATTTTTAATGGAACATCCTGTATATATTTTTCAACAATATATAGTAGCTTTGTTCGCGGATGCAATTCTGAACGAATTCAGAATTGGTGCCTATTTATGAACCAATCCGTGAACACGGAACTGGTACTAAAAATCCCAAACTCGTTAAACCATGAACGCTATTTTTTAAACTGTGCATGCGTATCGTCCCGGTACTGGCTCAGAATTGCATCCGCGAACAAAGCTAATATGTTGATATCCGCTTTAGCCATTTTTGAAATATCAACATTTATAGTATATTTATCAAATTGTTTTACCAAATCCTAGTTGCCACAATAAAACAAATGGCTATTATTATTTATTATTAATTAATATATTATTTTTACCATGGAAATAACTTGGACCAACTTTACATTTAATATTGATTTTGAGATTTTGAATACACAAAATTAACCAAAATTTACAAAAATAAAAAATAAATAAATGCAATCAAAAGGGCCAAAGCAAAGGTCAACATATTATATATTTTTGAAATCTGAAAATATGTAAGTATTCAAAATTTTATGAATGTACAGGGCATTCCATTAAAACTTTACCATATTTGCATTTTTCACTTTTTCCAATATTCATTTGTTTTTTTAATTTTACATTTTCTGGCGTTTTATGATAAACCCCACAACTTTTTCTATCTGATACTAAATGCTCTACGTGCTGTCTAAATGCCTATATGGAATAACCCTGTACTGTGTTTTTGTCACTTATTAACAACAATAATTTGTTTTGTTAATTTAATTTTAAAAAAGTATTTACCCTAAAAAAATTATCACACCATTTTAATTAAAAAATGTTATTTTTTTAAATATTACTAATTTCATTTTATAACTGTTCAACCCTTATAAACAGCACCACGATCGCAATGCAATGTTTAAAAACTACTTTTAATAAATAAAAATAGAAAAAAACCTAGTCAGTATTACCCTGAAAAATAAAACGAGTGACGAATTCTGTCTGTTAGAAGTTTCAATTACGAACTAAACTGTCAAAGTGTCATTAGCTGTCAATTTCAAAGATCCAAGCGTGGTATTGTTTGATTTATATTTATATTTTTTAAATTTTGTGCTGTTATATATTTTTTCTGTGTGTGTCGATCTTCAAACACAGCGCCATCTACTACCTTCTTATTATGAATGCAGTATATTTACATGTTGCTTATTTCTAAAAGATTATTTTATTGCAGGTAACGCCCTAGATGAACTACAATTAGATGACGCATTAAATTTATCGGCCCTCGACCGAGACCTGGAGTCGGAATCCACATCCGTAACGAACTCAATATCCGTAGGATTGGCATCATCGGCGGGTCTATTAGGCAGTTCGGCTCCCGTAAACATCCCGGGCGCTAGAACGGGTTTAGTGGGCGGTTTCAGTCCGACGAGCAATAGTCCCTTACTTCAAACGAATTTCTTAACGCCCGCTCGATTTTCCCAATCCGACCAGATGGACTCGTTTCTAAATCACTCGCAAATTCAATTAAGTAATAGTACGTCGAAGTTAAATTCATTCCAGAACTTCTTTGACTTCTCATCTCAAAACATTTCACCGAACAACTCTAGGAATCACAACAACTTTAGCATATCTCCGAGTCTAAGTAGTAATTTAGAAGTCGCAAGGTTAAGGGACGAACTGCATAATGCTCGTCTACAAATTAGTAATTGGGAGGAAAGACTGGTACAAGCGCGGACCGCGTGCGACGCGTGGCAGCGCGAGACGGAAGAGGCGAACCGAAAAGTACAATTAGCCGAGACTAAATTGAACGAAACGATGACGCAGTTCGGCAGTCTCAAGCAGGAGTACGAGAAGCTGCAGGGCGGTCCTCATCTACACAGTATTACACAAGTTTCCGAGTTAAGTAAACTATCGCTTAGCCTTTTAAAGAACATACATTCGCAACTTAGACAAGATCTCGAAGAAATTGAGAAAGTTTTATACAGGGAAACGGCATCGAAATGCATGGTTTGTGAGGAAAGAAATAGGACGGTTACGTTAAATTGTAATCACTTTGTTTTGTGTAGCACATGCGCTTTGACTCAAACCGAATGTCCCTACTGTCAAACACCTGTAAATTTGAGTAATAATATTTGAGGTTAAGATTCATAGGTGGGCATGCAATATTACTGTGAAATTTTTCCAATTTTGCATTTTTATGCTTAGTTTCATTGTCATCTGTGCGTTGTAATTGCTACTTATATTGTTGACACATTGAGCTTTATTCTAATCTACATTGTACAAATGTAAAACATTGCGAATGTGTTTTGTTTTTCATTCATAATCTGACTGTCATTTTCAAAGGTTGTTAAACAATTTTTGATTAGGAATTGTGTGCTGTGACAACGAGACATTCTGTATATTTTGTACCGTAGAAGAGCACAGATATATTGCATGCATTAACAAATTTTATTACAAAATAATTAGGTTTATAGAATTCTGGCGATTTTTTAAAATTGTTTATTTCGTTGTTAATTAGTAAACATCACTTTCAAATTATTTGGGAGTAACTCGCACCGAGGATAATTGGACTTGTGGCAGTTACAGTAGTTTTAAGTCTCGTGCGGGTTCCTCTATCTGCAGGATCTATGTATATATATTGTGTTATCGTGATTATTTTAAGCTAGGTTTAAAAATAAACTGTTTTAAGGGATCGCATTATATTTTTCTTTAGGTTTTAGTTAGTAAAATGAGTTAATTTTGAATAGACTGAATTTTTTGCTGCACTATAAACATATCAGTGTTATTTATTTTGGAGCAAAAGAACCTATTTTTATATATTGATTATTTTGTGATAATTTTCCACTCATAAGTTATGTACTAATAATAATAATAATGGAAAAAAAGAAAGATAGTCGTAAGTGCAGCGAGAATTCGTCCTCGCATTTGACCATAATTCATTTCCTTTCTGTTGTAATGGTGTTGGACGCTAATTGACAGATACTAAAAAAAGACAGTAACCAAATTTTTTGCTTTGGGAACGAAAAATCTGGACATTTTTGACTTTTTTCAATACACGCTATACTTATAACTTTAGCTAGTGAGTAATGAATTAAATTGTAGCGTATTAAACGTAGTGGGCCTATAGTTATTATTCGTTCGTAGAGTGTACGTTTCGGTAAGTCGAGAGATTGCACGTTTTTTCACGCAATTCGGTGATGGTGATTGTGTGTATTGTTGTGTACTGTTTCAAACATTGTTAATGCAGGTATGTTTTTAGATGAATTTGCGAAACTTAAACAAAATTCTCTTTTATTAGCACTATACTATTTACGGGTACTAGGAAATTGTTGCAATTATGTTATCGCAAACTTTCGTCTTACTAAAATTTCTAGAATATGTTTAAAAATTGTCTTACCTATTTGCCCCATTACATTGAAGTTTATTAGACACTCGTTATTCATTTTGATAGTTTAAATTTTAATTTATGATGTAATTGTGTAATTTAAATATATATATTATATATATACTATATTATAATTAGATCTCTTTTGTTTTCCTTTCTATTGTTGGAGTCATAGCAAACTACTTATTTGCTATCTTATAATCAAAAAAAGTAACTTTCGATATGAACTGTTGCATGTATTTATTCAATTGTTTTTACAACGCTGATATAGACATGAATCTAACTATACAAGTACAAAATAAATTAAGTAATTCATTCTTGACAAAATTTACGTACAGTTTTATATATATTAGTGTTTTTAAGAAGTTGAATGCATTTCTTTAATTTTACGCAGATTGTGTACCTTTCGATTCAGTTTTTTCCTGTATAAATAATCCGAATCTGCGTACAATTAAGAGGCAAAACAATTTTGTAATGTAAGTACAAAGGGTCGAGATGAAAAGTAGTATTTTGGCAATATATGTGTTATGTGGTGTAGATTAATATTTTTAAACTTTAAAGAAACGGTTAATTGTGAGTATCGTAAGAATTGTCGTTGGATTAGAAAGTTATGTACCGCTTTTATAATTTATTTGTCTCTATAATAAATTTCTCAATTAAGGTTTCTTCAAATTTATATGTAAAATCATTTTCGTGTCGACTATATTCAATTTACATAATAAAATAAGAGATATCTAATCATTTCTATTTAGCTCTCATCAAAGAGATCAGTCTTAGCAGTTTTCAAAATGAAATTTACAAAGGACATGGATCTTGTTGATACATGTTTGCAATGTTTACAAAAAAATTTGATTCTGCACAAGGATCAATTTCTGACCACCATATTGGCGATTTGATGGCATTAGGAAAGTAGTAAAAAATAAGCCCATTGCTAACAGGGGGGGCAGGAGGGGAACGATTTCGAGGGGCTCTTATAGGCGCAAAATATGTAGATCCGTTCCCGCTTTCGCCGTCTTATTTAAAAAGCATGGTCATTTTAACAATTTTTGCTATTTTTAAATAACTTTGTAATTTTCAAAAAATTTTAATCAAACATCCTGTAATCAACATATAATTCAGTCTAAGTAACGTCTAAATTTAACTTTAATCATTTATTGTACTGATTATTGTAGTTCATGCCCTGATGAAGTGAATAAACATTCACGAAAATTTGACCTGAAAAAGAATTATTATCGTAATTGGTGCTGATATCCAGTATAGTCTAATATTAGCATTAGCGTAGTATTCCTTGTAGTCAGGGCCCCAGAGGATTTGACCTTGCAAATTTCTGAGACAAAGAACCATGATACAGGGTTCATGTTTTTTGGGTCGCAGAATCCGAATTTGAAAATTGCACAAAAATCCGGATGACGCGGGAGCCGCCATTTTTCCAAAATCGGCGATTTTTCCACAAAACGCGAAATAACTCATTTGTTATCGTTTTTTTGGCGAAGAAACATCAGTAATAAATTAAAGTACATAAAATTTCCTTTGAGATGAGCCCTTGTTCATCAAAATCGGATAAAAACTAACGCCATTACAGTGCAACGAAACTCGGCCCAAAAATGACGTTTCGCAATTTTCAAAATTTCGTGCGCATAAAACGGAACTGACACTAGGAAACTGAACTGACGCTAGGAAACTGAACTGACGAGCAGTAAGCTCTCCGAATGTGAGGAGCTTTTGAAGAACACCCAATTGAATCCCTAATTTTGGCAATCATTGACGTAAGATTGCTTCTTTTAGTGTGGTTTTTTTTTTGATTTTTTATATCCTTATTGGCTGTTTCGTCAGAAACTCGGCATTCGTTATTCAAATGCATAATTGGACAGCATTTAACGAAAGAGAACCCACTTTTTTGCTACATTTCAAAACCATGGCCCATATGAATGAAAGGGAGCCAATGCTTATACTTGCAATATTCAAGGAAATACTCGTAAGAGCCCCTTCACACTTGGCGACTTAGCAGCGGGACGAGACGCAGCGCAGTTTGAAGGGGCTCTTACGAGTATTTACTTAAAATTTTTCAAGTATAAGTAAGCATATGCTTCCTTTTATATTCATGTGCGCCCATGTAGCTCCATCGAACAGTTCAACCAAGATACTTGGTTTTGGAATGTAGCCAACAAATCCTTTGTTTTTCGCGTATTCCCGTTAAATTTTGCTGTCGGATTTTCGTGTTGATAGAACATAACGTCCTGCTGTCTAGTTTTTGGAATACTTACGGCCGTTTGCACCGAAAAATTTAAGCTGAACTTAGCTTAAGGGTAGCTTCAAAATCCATAACAACCATTGTCTCAATAATCGTTGTCATAGATTTTAAACAACGCTTAAGCTAAGCTCAGCTTAAATTTGTCGGTGCAAATGGCCATTAGTTATGTTTTTCCTTTTTTCCAGTGCGTTTTCGGCTCGGTTTTCGGTGATTGAGCGTTCAATATGGAACCAGAAAGCATAAAAAGCGGTTCATTTGTGAAAAACACTTAAATAATGATGTAAAGTATAGTGATTCAGCGCGGAATAGAAACTCTTATAAATCCCAGCAAAAAGCGAAAAGACACAACAGTCCGAGTTTAGAACAAAGAATCGAATAGGGACAGTACAGAGGATTGACAACCCTTGTCCGTATTATTAACCAGAACAACCACCAGCATGATCTATATGATGTACCTCTGACCATCCCTATTGGATTGATAAACTCCCAATACTTCATCGGATTTCCAGCATTTACTCACTCCATACGATGAGTGGATATATAGGTCTCATCCAAGTATATAACGGGTCTCTTAAGTTTCTTAAATAGGTACCGGAACGCCATGCTACGATGTCACTTCTTTCCATTAACAACCTACGTTTCTCATGATACTTTTTATACCAAAAAGTTTCAACAATTCCTTGCTTCCACCCGTATAGTTGATCTTTTCTTGCATTTTTTCTACGAGCACATCCAAAGTTGACACCATCGTTGGTAATCTACGGTCCTCTGTATACATTTTTTGTACAGTTCTTAAAATACACAGATCAACTTAATCAAAATCGACACAACCTGAGCGGCGGGGGTTTTAGTGAGTAAGGCGTTTTGAATCATTCAATGCAGAAATCATGTTGTAAATTATGAATAAAAATTTTAAAACTTAGGTATGATCTTGATACTCATTTCACCGCGAATGCGCTAATTTCGGCGAAAGAAGTAGGTTCGGGCGATTAAAGTGGAGAACTGCAAAATTCAGCAAATTTTCGATTTTATCGAAAAAACTTTGAGACGATGTTGCGATATCAATTTTCGTCCGATTTAAACACACTTTAATGGCTTATTTTAAAGGTAATTGGATGTTCTTCAAAGCTCCTCACGTTCGGAGAGCTTACTCTTTGTGAATGACGTCCGTTCCGGTTTTTTTCGCGCGAAATATTGAAATTGGGAAAACTTCATTTTTGGACCCAACTTCGTCGCACTGTAGTGGCGTTAGTTTTTATCCGATTTTCATCAACATGGGCTCATCTCAAAGGAAATTTTATGTACTTTAATTTATTACTGAAGTTTTTTCACCAAAAAACCGATACCAAATGAGTTATTTCGGGTTTTGTGTAAAAACCGCCGATTTTCCGCCATTTTTCCAAGATGGCGGCTCCCGCGTCATGCGGATTTTTGTGCAAATGTCAAATTCGGATTCAGCGACCCAAAAAACATAAACCCTGCATCTTGGTTCTTTGTCTCAGAAATGTGCAAAGTGAACCCCTGTTTTGAGCTCTAGGGCCTGGACTATTGGAATAAAGGCAGAGCACTAACTTTGGACTTTACTTGTGTATAGACACCCCTCCATATGCTGATGCTTATATTCGTGAAAAGATAAAGTGGACATACGACCCTAACTCGAGTGTCACTACTGTATACTGTGTGGGCCAACGAGAAGTATACAGAGAGCTTTTAGGGTATTAAATTTAGAAATTTCGAAAAATCCTCGAACACGTCAATTTTGTATTCAAGGTGGACAACTTTCGGAATACAAATTACGAACCCAAGTCTTCACCCCTCTACAGGGAGCTTATAACCTCTAAAATTTTGAATGGAATCCTATAGCAAATGGCACATTATTTGAAAGCCAATTTAATCGTGATTACTAATCTGCTTTGCTTTTTAAATTCTATTGATTCGTTTCGGAGATATTCGCATTTGAAATTGTTTTTTTCCCTGATTTAAGTCCTTTAGATTACTTCTTGTGGGGATATTTAAAGAATAAAGTTTATGCTACTCCGCCCGGAACATTACAAGCGTTGCGTTCGTGATTTGTGTTCCAAAAGTTCTCCCCCTCGAATACAAAATTGACGTGTTCGAGGATTTTTCGAAATTTCTAAATTTAATACCCTAAAAGCTCTCTGTATATTTCTCGTTGGGCCACTCTGTATATGCGTAATCAGTACCTATACTAGGCTTTGTTTATTAATTAATAAATAAACAATGATATAGACATGGTTACTTGCGATAATAAAGATTTATCTTTCAGATTGATTGTAATATCTGTACGTGAGTGTAGGTATTACAGCATCTCTCAGGGGACACGGTACTGCCCACAATGCTCTCTACATCAATGAGACGAAAGGGCAGTAGGGAAAAGTAATTGAGAAATGAACGTGTTAGTTACATTTCATGCATGAAAAATGTTTTGAGTAGGAATAGAATTTATTTAAAAAAAACAGTATTTAATGCTACAAAAATGTCATTCACAGTCCACCAGCTTACAAATACCATTGCTAACTGTTTCCAGTTAAGAGTCATTTTGATTTTTATTTCCATATTGTTTAAATCTTAATTTTTGGCCAATTTTCTTTGCCCCTCAAAATTTAAATTTTCTACTTGCGCATTAGTTGTAGCGCATACAGCGACATCTCTCGGTTCCCTTTTGTCACAGCGTATTGGACAATCCGTAGCAGCCGGATAGTTTCATAACGTAAGTACCTGACAAATAAACGAAATTATGCCAAAAATAGGATTAGTCGCGACGTAATTAATAATTATCTAGATTTATAATACTAAGTAGGTAAACACTTGTATTTACAGTTGAATAATTTCATTTGTGAGGCTCGTATAGACGATAATACTATGTGAATTTTCTACTGCGTTTCATGCAGCTAGTGCGAACATAGTGATTTTTGAAAAGTTGTCGCACCATTTTCGTGAAGGTTCTGTAGGATTTACATAGTACATGTAAAATTTCGTATTGTGCAAAAGATTGAACTAAATCCGTGCAGTTTTTCAATTCAAAAATTGATTTCGAAAATAAAATTGTAGCACAAATTTTGTATTTCACTACGTGGAATGGCCCAATCACAAAGTTCGTTATTTTGACCAATAGCGGCGTTCGTTATTTCTACCAATCAAAACCATGCAAATCACTATCGGGTCGAATCGAGTTATTACAGAAAGCGTCTCCCAGCATTGTGGTTCTAGTTGATTGCTAGTGAAAATTGTGTTTTGATTGTGGTTGAAAGGTAAATTCTGATTCTTTTACTAGAAAATAAGGGTTTATGTAATGACGTAACATAAAGTGGTGTTAGCAAGAATTGCATTTAGCCGCGGTGAAATTTTCGTTTTATCTTAAATGATGGAAAGTGTATCAACTCCGCCATGATTGTTTCTGTATTTCCCGGTTTTTTTTTATATGCTCGTGTGTTTCAGGTGAAACGAAATGGCTCGTACCAAGCAGACTGCCCGTAAATCTACCGGAGGTAAAGCACCTCGCAAACAGCTAGCGACGAAAGCGGCCCGCAAATCGGCACCCTCAACTGGCGGAGTTAAGAAACCGCATCGTTACCGTCCGGGTACCGTGGCCCTTCGTGAAATTCGTCGCTACCAAAAGTCGACTGAATTGCTCATTCGTAAATTGCCGTTCCAGCGCTTGGTCAGAGAAATTGCGCAAGATTTCAAAACCGATTTACGTTTCCAATCTGCTGCCATTGGTGCCCTTCAGGTATGTAATCTATTAAGCAAATAATGAGTTCTTTGGATTTTTAACTATTTAACCAAATCAGTGTGATTGAGAAATTAGTTTGTAACGCTTCTTTGTTCTGCAGGAAGCCAGCGAGGCGTACTTGGTCGGCCTATTCGAAGACACGAATCTCTGCGCCATTCACGCGAAGCGTGTCACAATTATGCCGAAAGATATTCAGTTGGCTCGCCGAATTCGTGGTGAACGAGCTTAAATTGTTTTATTATGTAAATTTTCGCAACATATATTTATGTTTTTCCTTAATTTCTTTATTAATGTAATTTATCAATATTAGTGTTCATTATTCTGTAAGGTGTAGTATGTAGAATTATATTTTAAGTGTTTCGTACGAAGTTTAAAAGGTAAGTCATTTGAAAATTTAGACATCGGTTAAGTCTGTAGTAAAATGTATTAGTTAACTGAATTTTTTTTTATATGTAACGTCTTTCTTCATAAACAATAAATGAGTTTTCCTTATACTTGTGGTGCTGTATATTCCCAAAGTTTGTAGTGAACTTGTAGTCCTCCAATTTTCGGAAGTGGTCACATGACAATTCCATCTCAAGATTTTATTAAGCTGCAGAGCAAAGTGATATCAGTATTTATAGGGGAGTCAATTGTGTATTTCTGTTAAATCCCCATAGGCATTGTTTAAATACTACTAAAGTATTTAAACAATGCCATAGGGTAATAACAAGGTCATGCTCTGTCTTAGATCCCGTTTAGAGAGGTTTATTGATTATTGAAGGACAATCTTCAAATGAGAATTTGCAAATAATTTTTGTTAATAACCAATTCTGCGATGCTGTAATCGCCCCTATCTTAAGCTTCTCTGGGTAGGCGCCAGAGAACAAGCAGTAGTATGTGTATTGTTTTGCTACCTACTAGCCTTCTATAGATAACTTAAATCTCGAGAATATGATTTTTGAGAACTGTTTTGTTGACCAGAACCAACTCTCCTACTTTCAATCTTATTGGGTGATGACACTAATCACGGATCGAAAGGGTTGCCTATGTGGGCTCAGAATCCGAGGCAAGTGTAGTAAATGGAAAACTGTCATCTCCACAAAATTTATGTTTCCTTTTCAAGTAATTTTTTGGAACGTATCTCCTAAAAGAAACATTTTGCATTTGTGGTCGATTTTAAAAGAAATGTAATTTTGCTCCACTCTATACCATCCCTTTGTAAGTCATTAGTAGTTCAAATTTGTATCTGTAGTTCAAATTGAGCAACTACTATAATAAACATAACCTCAATTTGAGATTTTTTGAAATTAATTTTAATGGATAAGCGGCAGTACGAATAAGTTACAGTTTACAGTAACCCAGTGAGATGTTTATTAAACTTAAAGTGCCTAGTCTAGTTAGCAAAAAATGCAATGTATTTCAATACACTTGTACCATTTTGTTAGCAGGTTCCTCTATTGACCAAATAGCGTTGCTAAGCTACATACCGACAGACTGCCAAATTACAAAACCGTCAACTAAAATCAAAGATAATGTCTACAAACTCGGGTGACGAGAAGGTTGTTGAAGCGAGAAAGCTTTGCTACAACTTGCAAAGCGAAGATAAACGTGTTCGGAAACTAGCACTGATCGAGTTGCGAAACTATCTGTTGACTAACGAATTCAGTGATCTAGAGATGCAGTCGGTTTTCAACGAGACGCATATTTATACTCTCAAAGCTTTTAGGGATAAAACCGAAGCTGTACGCAGTGAGGCGATTAAGTTTATGCAATTTTTTGTTATTGACAAGTTGCCAAAGAATGACTATTATTTGACGTACCTTTTCCCTGTGTTTGTTGAACGAATCGGTACGGTAGAGTTGGTCGAGGAATCCGAGGAGATTCGCTTGGAACTACTGCAATTTGTGAGAGAGATCATTGTCAAGTACTCGAATACAGTACAATTGAAACCTTTTTTAAATGATTGTGTTAGTATTTTGTGTGAGACGGTTAAAGATAAACATCCGGCTGTAAAGGATGCGAGTTGTAAGTGCATCACGCAATTGGCGGACGCCTTACCTCGTGATTTTCACATGCAAGCTGAAAGTCTTGTTAAACCGGTACTTACCGCTTTTACGTACCAACGTTTCAAAATTCGACTTGAAGCGGTGAAATGCATGGGAGACATTGTAATGCACAGTCCGTACAAGGCACTTGAAGAAGCCGCTGGGCCAATGGCGGAAAGATTATTCGATCAGATTCCGGCGGTAAGGCAGATGGTGGCTCAGGTCGCTTCACGTTGGTTGCTGAACTATCGTGATCGTTACTCCTACTTCCATAAGTTGCTGCCCTTAATTCTAACTGGGTAGGTATTAGATTTAGGAAATTGTAATCCATTGTAATTGGTGCTTGTAGGTTAAATGACGAAATTCCCGAAACCAGAGAGAAAGCATCTGCATTGTGGCAAACTATCGGCTTACAATATGAAAGAGAAAATGAGAGCGATCTGAAAGATCAGATGGATTACTTGACTACACTTCCGAAATATTATCCGGAGAATTGTTGGTTTTTTTTATCAAGGGGGAAACCACTTGCTACAAATGTGTACATGTACTGCCCTTTCCACTTTTTAAATTTAGGGATGCTCATTTGGAGACCAAAGTTTGATGTTCTTTATGAAAAACTACAACAGAGTCCTTAGGGCTGAACGTTTTGACGAAAAATGTAGGACCGAGGGGTCTGGTGACAAAGCTGGGCAGTATTCGATTTTGTAAATACTTTTTAGTATTCAAATCCTTTAAAGTATTCAAATACTTTGTAATTAAATACTTTTATGGAAGCAGTATTTGTATTTGTAACTCAAATACTTTCACAAATATTTAGTATTGGAATACTTCGCAAGGTATTTGAATACTTAACCTTCCTTTTTTTTACCAAAAATCGACTACTCCACAATTTCTCGGGAAAACACTTTTTCTTATTAATTTTGGTGCGTAGAATCCAAAACAATTCGTACTTTTTCGATCAGACTTCTCAATCAAAAGTTATAGACTAGAAACCCATTTCGAAAGAAAATTCAAAGGGCTGTAACTTTTGAACTAGTAGCCCAATCTTGGAACTGTTTGAAATTATGGATTCTACAGGCCACATTCTATAAGAACATTTTTTTCCGGATCGATCTGAGACAATTTTTTTTTCGGGGCCCAAAAAAGGCAGTGTTTTACCTTCCTTTTTTTACCAAAAATCGACTGCACCAAAATTTCTCGGGAAAACACTTTTTCTTATTAATTTTGGTGCGTAGAATCCAAAACAATTCGAACTTTTTCGATCAGACTTCTCAATCAAAAGTTATAGACTAGAAACCAATTTCGAAAGAAAATTCAAAGGGCTGTAACTTTTGAACTAGTAGCCCAATCTTCAAACTGTTTGAAATTATGGATTCTACAGGCCACATTCTATAGGAAAATTTTTTTTCCGGGTCGATCTGAGACAATTTTTTTTGCGGGCCTCAAAAACCTTCCTTTTTTAATTTTTAATTTAATTTTGTAATTTTTAGTGACGTTGGTTTCAAGAGGAACACTTCTTTTAGTTTCTCTAGAAAAAAAATGAGTTAGTTTTTGTCCCCTCTTATTTCAACTCATTCTTCATTTAAGTGAAGCCTAGAATTTTTTTGGAGTTTCCCTAGAATCTTCTGAGAATTTTCTTAGGGCTATTTGATTTAGAATTTAAAATGAAGGACGGAAAGGGGGTTAATTACATTTTCTTCTTTTAATTTTTCTCAGGGCAAGACTGGGTTCAGATACAACAACTTTTTTACTAAACATCTGACCAAATTAAACTTTAAACATTACAATTAAATTTCAATTACATGTTTCCTGCGCTTTAAACTTATCATTCAAACTAAATGCAAGAAAATCAATTAATGAATTAAACAATTACTGACTAAATTTACAATAAATTAAAAAATAATATTTGAAATAAAGTTGCCCAGATCCTATGAAATAATTTGTATGATTTTACATACAGGATGTCCCAGCTGCTATTTCCAATACTTCAACCGAAATATTTTAATAACACATATTTTGTTATCACTACAGGGTGGCCCTCTCTCATCTTCGGCATTGTTTCAACCTGGAGAAACTACACCGCCGGTAGTTTACACAACAATATATATTTGGTATTGTTGATCATGAAAAAACTTATAGCAAAAATGCTGTATACACATCTTACTGTGAATGGTTTCCCCCTCGTTTTTATATTACGTTCGTTTGCTTAGAGTGAACAATGATTTTGTAGTAATACGTCCAAATTTGGGATGCCGCGCTTTAGTTCAACGTTGCGTTTGTAATATTGCGCCCGCATTGGCACGAGAATTAAGCAGTTGGCAGGGAGACGTGAGGGTTCGTTGCAGTCAGCTGTTATGCGCGGTCGCCTTTCACGCCGAAGAATACCTAACGCAACATTTGCAAGATCTACTGCCTGCGATGTACACGGCTGCACGTGACGAAGATCAACGGGTTGTCGTTAATGTAAGTACTTCTGCCAGTGGCAAGGGGGGTGTGACACTTCCAAAATCTTGTACAGCTCTTAAAGTACAGCAATTAATACGTCTCGGCATTGTAATTCTGGGTGTAAAATAGAAAATTGTATCATGGAATTGTTCTCTGGGTGGTAACTTGAGCTCGATTAAACACAAAACTAACCATTTACTAATGAAACAAATTTATTCGGCATAAAGCAATCAAATAAGCTGAAAGAAAAACAGGCCCTCAGGGCCAAAAACAAATACCACGCAACAAGCGATGGACAGAACAAATTAATTAAGAGAAACAATTAATAATCGAAAATCTGCGGTTGTGCCTGCGATTTTCAACAAACCACACTAACGCAAAACGGCAGATGATATTGCGTCGAAACTTCACTTCTCGACTTTAATTATTGCACTCAAATCTCGAAAATAAATTATTTCATCCTTCCCTTTCAGATCGTATACCTTAATTATTATGTTGTTTTTCTTCTGTTATTTCTCCATGCTTTTCATTTTATCTTCTATGAACTTTATTCTCTCTGTCATTTTATTGTTTTCATCTTTTAATTTTTTGGTCTACCTGTATAGCCTTCACCTCGGCCATTAACTCCTTAATCATTCCACTTATTTTTCGTACCCTCTGATTTGTTTGGCCCCCTCTTTTTTAGATTCGCTTTTCTCGTCAGAATCTTCCCATCTTTTTCTTTTACTCTCTTCCGTAGACGACTCCTCCGCTTTATCAGCTTCAGGGGTTCTTGGCGGCATTCCAGATCGCTTACAAAGACGAAACGTCGCATGTTCATTTTGGTTTCTTTCGAATATCTTCGGAACTGGTCGGAATTTCCGAATTTTTAAAACATATCGCGCATTCAATTGGTATACCGATCATGGCCAATCGGCGTTTCACCAACAAATTTGGTGCTTAAGCATCGCTCAGGTTTCTTTTTTCCATTTCTAATAACGGGCGATCAAAAATGAGTGCCCTTTGATTTCCCATGTAAACAAAAACTCGAAATCTGACTCGACAGCAACTCATTTTTGGACGCATAGTAATTGGTTTGTACGATATAGTAATTTTGCTCAGTTGTACATACTTTTCAAAGTGTCCCACTCATCAGACAGTAGGTTTGCTAACTCTCAGTAAAGGTACTGCAAGCGGGCGAGTTGATTGGATTATTCGTGCCGGTTGAAACATGGTGTAAGCTCATACTCCCCGCGATTGAAGATGGGCCACACTATGGTCAATTAGCAGTTTTATCGTCACTAATTAAAGGCACCCCTTGTCAATACATCAAGTTACATTTGGAGGACATTTGTAAGCTGTTGGCCGAAGATAGTATTTGCCAAAGTCGAAAGGTAAGCTTGATCAGTACAGGGAACATTAAACAATTCGCCAATTTCAGTGCAAATATCAATTACAGTTAGTCAAATGTGTGCGTACAATTCTATCAAAATGCAATCAGGAGAAAAAGGAGTTGGGCGAATACATATTTCGAATTATTGTTACAGTAGTTGCTCTGCGTGACTCTCAAAATCAATATTTGTTTGACCTCTCTCTCTTGGAGGATCTACAAAACGCATTCGGATTTCTTTCGGTCACGAGCGTATGGAGCGAGTACTCTCCCAATTTGCTTAAAAAAATTAATGTAGATCCGAAATCGTGGACGTCGATTACAGTTGAACGATGCATCTTCGAAAGCTTTCTCTTGGAATCGGGTATGTCGGCGGGACTCTTAACATTAACTCACTTACGTTAATTGCAGGGGAGGCGTTCGGTGAAAACCTGCAAGAGACTGGAGATATTTTGGAGAAAGCGCTTGATACAGATGCAGATCCAGAATCGCGTTTAAAAACGTTTATAGCACTATCCACAGCTCTGGAGTGCAAAGATAAAATATTTAAAAACGCTACAGATTTGGATGCATTTCTCCAAAAGCTATTAGTGCAAGTGCTTGTACCTACACTAGTCTGGCATGCCGGTTTAACAGCCGAAGCAATGAGAACAATGGCCGTAGCATGCGTGTGCAGTGTTTTAAATCCTGGAGTTCAAGTTGACCTCTTCCCACAAGCCGCAACCATTGCACCATTTCTCGAGAAGCTGACACCGCTCCTATTGTCGCTGACTGAGGATAGCTCAAGCAGAAGTCGCCAGTTGGCCATTGAAGCTCTCACTCTAATTAAACTCATCGCCAGTAAAAGAAAATGCTGGGACACGGACGCCTTACTTAAAGTTTATCCTGGTGGCGCCCTCCTGCTATGGGAAATTGCAACAGGTTTTAATCCTTTGTATTTCTAGAACTTTTGAAACGACTAGACGACCCGACCGACACCGTGAGAATAACCGCAGTAAAGGCGATTGCGATTATCTTTAAGGAACCTCCCTCCGAATTCACTAAGAGCAATTATAACGGTCACCACGAGCATCTTATCGATACTTTAGTTACACATTTTGATGACGACGACGACGATTTACAATCACATCTTGCAGGTCTGCCACTACTTGCCGGTACGTTATATTCCAATGCAATATTTCCAGATTGTCTAAAAGTGATAGCAGGCGTGGCTTCCAAGACTACTTTATTGGATAAGTTTAATAAGCATAAGAAATTGACAAGAAATAGCGCAAAATTGGAGGATTTATTTAGGGAGTTTATTTCTATTGCTTAATCTATATTTTTATTTTTTTTAAATAAAACAGTTTCTACTTTTTTCAGTCATAAGTTGTTTTTGCTTTACCAGTCGAAGAAAAGTTTTGATTTGGCTCGATGGACCAATTTAATACCGACTCATTGAAGCTTTAGTACTTGCACGGTTTCCTAAAATATATTTTTCAGTATATGCAACATCACTTATGAGCGCATTTTTTGTTCTCAAAAAGGAGCTTATACGTTCAACAGTCGGTCATTTGAGCGCCTGTTAAGGTTTTTATAATCGATTAAGAGCTCAGTAACACAGCGCAGTGCATGTTTTTGTAACCTGTAGGATTCCATTAGACAGCGCACGTTGATAGCATGACGCGAGGTGGCCTGAACTGACTCTTCTGTCGGTGGTACGACACAGTGGTCGAGACACAGTTTTCGGCGTCAGATGTGTCATATGTTTCCACATTCTTCAGTTCAGTGTTTGAAATCTTGTATCAGTTTTTTCCTTTTTTTAAATGAAAAAATGGCAGAACAGAGGTTGATAGAGACGGTAATGAAACACACTGAGCTTTAGAACATGTGGAAGATTTGGCAGGTTCAGACTTAGAGGAGGTTGAGGGCAGCGACATGAATTTCGCCATAGATGAAGAAGTGGGCCCCTTGGACGACGTTGCTCCCCCCCCCCCTCCAAACGACCCAGACTTTGTGTGATGACCGAGTTGAGGTAAAATGAACCCATCAAGCGGGGCACGAGGTATAATATCAAAGGAACCTATACCTATCTGACAAATTTCCTGAAAAACGGAAAATTGTCCGTAGAGGTACTCTGAGAATAATCAAGGAATATGTACTATAATTGTTTAAATAACAATGGTACTATTATGTATGCTTATACACATATATTAGGACTACCCTGTACATACTTATTCAATAAAATATTTATACAGCACTTGATTCATTTTTCTAAATACCTAGTGATCTTCAAGCAATCGGGAATCTCCTGCATTCAAATTCCATGTTCAAATGTACTTTAATTTTGTGTATTATTTATGTTATACAATTAATAATGATTTATATTTTTTAATAATAATTTTATTTATTTATGTTGAAACCCTTAAAAAAACTGGAACGAATCGAAAATTACTGTAGTCACAGAACCGGTTTCGGAAACCTTAGAAAATAATTTTACCTAAGTAGTGCGGAACCGGAACTGATATTTCATATGGGTTCCAACCCCTGGCCCTTTCCCAAGCGTTTTTATTTTTTTTTGCAGAAATATGTATATTACCTTTATTGACTTTCCAGAAATTTACAGGCTCGTCTAATTTCGAAGGACCGACAGATTTGAAAGTTATATATTAAACGCTTCCCTAGGAATCTTTGGAAAGCATTCTACGGAATTCCCGGATCTTGATAGTGATAACCATAAAATATAAAGACTGATCTGATCCGTCTAGGCATTTTCTAAAGTTTTCCATGTAGGAATTCCAAAATGGTCTAGAAAACTTTGAAACTATAAGGCAACTGGCAACGCTGTGGTGAGTTTATGAACGCCTCCGGTAGCGGCGGTTAAGAAGCATTACTGTGTGCGAATGCGCCCACCAAACTTAACCTAAAAATGTTTGAATTTTGTTAATGTTTGTTTGATCCCTTCATTCATAATTTTAGCGAAGCAATGGATGCAACTTTAAAGACTTTTGTAACTATTAATAATATCAACGAGTCTCTAGAACCATCTGTTTACAGATAATTCCCAACGAGCTGTGCAGACGGGCGGGTATCGTCGGTACATGGGTGCGAGTGAACGAATTGGGAGTTTTTCCTTCACAACACATCAAGACAACCAATAGTGATTCCGTTAGCCTCTACGGTCCAAGCGATGCGTCCGTATTCAACGTTCGGCAACAAGTAGTCTTATTCGAGCCCATACTCCGAAAACTTGTCAACGAAGCTAACGGGATCTTTTTAAGCGTTCAAGAGCTAATGGGTAGCAATGTGCCGGACTATAAAAGCGAATTATTGAAATTGAGCCGTCAGTATCGCTCGATCATCCGCGCGTGTCTGGAGAATTTACAGGAGGAAACTGTTCGTGCCAAAGCGACGTATAAGGAAGAACTGCAGAATTATATCACCATTTTTTACTCGGTAGAGTGCATTTGGCACCTTTGCGAAATTCTCTTTGTCGAGAATATTCCAGGTCTGTCAACTATGGATGGGTGATACTTGTTTAACGTGAGATTGTAGGCGGAATTGTCCTTCCCCATCTTCTGGAGTGGGTGAGGTTTCATTTTCCCAAGTACGAGCGTAACGCCGCAAGTTTATTAAGGGAAGACGTGATTGGCGCCGAGCTACAACCTTGTTATTGGGAAACTGTCATCGGATCTCTGATGCAAGGCAGAATTGAGCTTGTTCAGGCGTTACTAGAAGTTCACAGTTCGGCGGACGGGAAACCATTCCAATTGGCCATTCAAACACTAAGGACGATGCCACTTTATAATGTAAGGGGGAAATTACCAGCTTTTCACATTGTCTCATTTTCATCTCCCGCTTTCCGCAATCTCCTCCCTTTTTTTTTTTAAATATTTGTACCTACTAATCTGTTCCATTTTACACATTTTACACCATGTCAACAAAACACACTTAAACTTTTCCCCCTCTCCAACTGTTCTGACACCCCATTTTTTCGAAAACCAAACTGTTCCTCACATATTCCGTCCTTTATTTTGTCAATTTCCGGTTTAACACCCTTAACGGTAAGTGAATGGTTCTCTGGCCTCCACATTACATGATGGGGTATACCTACCGACTTTAATTGTACTTAATTAAATTAATGATTACACAAAACAAAAGAAAGTATCATGTAAGAGGCGCCTTCAGCCAATGGCAAGGAGTTGAAGAATTTGTAATAATAATAATAGAATACTTTTTTAATTTGTAGATTTATGGTGGTATCTCTGTAAGTGAATTTAACTTAAAGTGGAAGCACTGGGTGTTAGATACTCAGTCGAAAATTGAAGCTAAAATGTTTTCATCAGAGCGTCATTTGAATCTCGTCATGAGGGTAAGGGCAGATTGAGAGTTTTCTTGTATACTAGTACGGTTGTAGTTGGCGGTAGGCGACGAAGTAGCATGGGGCGAGATGCAGACTCACCGTGAGCCGTGGTACGCTTTTCTGGCAGCTTCCCTCTTCTTTAAGGAGCCAACAGTAAAAGCTTTCGAACTCGGCCAGTTTGCACGGCAGTGTATAGCAAAAGTGGGAGGAGCCGTGAAAATGCGCCATTTGGATCAAGTTTTGCTGGCATCTATGGAATTGGATATTATTCAGGTGGGTAAGACATGTCCATGAAAAAAAAAGTTTGCGATAAAGGCAAAATCATTCTACATGTAAATGTGGACTCGGCTGTTGGGGATTTTAAAAGTGACCCTTAATAATAAATTACCACCTTACATTGCATAAGCAAAGGTGACATTTTGAATTTTTTAACACACTGGTCGTTGTCCATTAATCACGCCCCCCCCCCCCTGGTGATACTTGGTGAGGTTTAAAACCAATGAATAAAATTCTTTATTCATTGTTTAAAACTAACCCCTCCACCCATCCAAAATCACGTGTACTTTTTTTAGTACATTATAAGGTAAATTTTCAGAATATCTATACATATATGCAGACAGAGATTAACGATCCGATTGTTTTTGACTGGCGTTTCACAAACGATGATTCAGGTTAATCTCTGATTAAAAACATTAGAATGGAAAACATCTGAGCGTATAATCAAAGGTGCCTAACATTCTAATATTTTTAATCATTGATTAACCTTAATCATCGCTTGTGAAACCGGGCAATAGTGTTTTAGGGAAAAAATAAAAACATGGGATTGTCTTACTACACCCTCTGTCCCCTTTGTGACATTTCCTCACAATTCCTGATTTTTTCCGCCCACCCCCCCCTTTAGAGTGTCACGTGATTAATGGATGACCTCTTTCTATGGTTACTTTCTTGTGTGTGTTTGTGTGTCAGTCACGAAGTTGTGCGCGGCATTCCTAGAGAACACCCGTAGATTGGTACTAACGGCCATATTTCATGGCTCTCCAGGTCGCCGGATTTAAATCCGTAGATTTTTTAAGGATATAGTTTACAGTAGTTCTCCAGATTTGCAGCATCTAAAAACCAGTATAGAAAATTTAAATCATATTGATGGCCGGACGTTAAGATCAGTAAAAAGTAATTTGTTTTTCACATTCATTCTCGAGATAGCAATAGTAGGAAAATATAATAAAATGGACACACTATAATAGCCTGGACTATAAGCCGGGCGGGTGAGCGCATGTGCTTTCTTATTGGTGGTGCGATCTTCCAGAAATTTTAATTCCACTTCTATGTATTAAAAACAAACTAATTGTTTATGTAAAACATGTGTGTGGGGGAGGGGGGGGGGGTAGGATGTCAAATGTGAATATCTCTAAAATGCATTATTATTATTACAACGTAGTATCAGAAGACTTCGCTCACCAAAGAAAATTATACATGTGGACGAAGCGCATCCGTCGGTGGGGCCAAAACTCAAGTATGAATATCTAGAAAACGGAATATTCGAAGAGAAAAAATAATAGTGGTCTTTGAAATGCACCAATCGATAAAAAACTAAAGGTTTTTGTTAATTTTTGGTGAAAGACACATGGTGGCGTAAAAGGAGTGACGTCATAACCAATGATATACCGTTTCAGTCCCCACTCTAAAATGGTCTATTTCCTTGCAATTATTAATGAAAATTTTTATTAAGGCGTCTCTGCAGTGAATTAAGATTTCGATCTTGCGCCTAGACAGAAAAATTTGTAGGCAACTAACTATACAAATTATTGATGTTTCCAATGTGGATTCTAAAACGCTGCAGGCTATAGGTGCTATTCATTCATAACAAAGCAATTAGTACCTAAGTAAATGAATTAAAATACCTCTTTTCTTTCTTTTGTAATTTGTTGAGCTGGATTTATTTTGAAATGACTACATTAGTCATAGACAAATACCATTACCGTTACCTAGAAGTATTCAGGCTTCCATTAATCATTTAAATCTGAAAATTTACTTGCCAACATAGTTTTTTATGATCTGTCGAAACAAAATATTATCATGATTTTTCCACTACCGGTTCTACCGGATGTCTATAGCAACTTTCTTATTTTAAATAAAACACCCTGTATTTTATTACATTTTCGGAATCTACATGAAAATCTACGTCGTTTGATACCACATTTCGCTATACCCAGCATCAAACGTTTTCAAGTAATTCAAGATTTTTCAAAATTCAAAAATTAACAGTACTGACTTGATTCTACGTGACAATGATTTAAATTTTGATCGCCCTTTTACAGGGTGTTTTAAAACTAATGGTCAACTTTAACATGCAGATATACATGCTTTATTTTTTTGCACTTTCAAATGTCGAAAAAAATTCTATAGCAATTTAGTATTACGTTCCGTTTACCTATCTGTTATGCTTTCCGTTATATTTTAGATTTTCTAAAATTGTGACTCTTATGCATAATTTTCTTAGAAAGCTTTGAAATATCGTTAGAAGACTTGTCAGACCTTTTTATAGCTATAGTTGATAGTGATGGTAGATGAATAATAAGTTAAATAAAGAAAACATAATAAACAGAAACAGGTAATAATAACAAACGACAATATAAAAGAACCAACATCAATTGAGGTTTTGTTCTACGTGGCCACCGTTTTTTTCAATACATAATAGGATCTTCCGATTAATTCCGTTGGTAGTCGTCTCTCTAATCCATTCCATCAAAAGCTCTTCCAGTTCTTCACGAAAAGCAACTGGTGTGAAGTAAATGTTGTCTTTATATGACCCCACACAAAAAACCCCAAGGCGTTATATCTGATAAGTTCTAGGAGGCCAACGCCACGGACATCTGGCTCCTATCTTCAAAAAATGTTCGTCAAAGATATACAGTGTCGTATGTATAAGCATCATGGATAGAATGAGCCCGCGCTCCGTCATGTTGAAACCAGTTGTTTTTAGCGCATTTTTGCAAAAAATTTTTTTTGTAAAAAGTAGCTTTTAATCTCACTTTGGCTGGCTGGCTGGCTGGCTGGCAGCAAATGTGGGCGCGTAGAAGAACTCTTGTAGAAAGGCAACGGGTGTACGTGTATCTACAGGGCCGTGTAAATTTGTCAACCTTAGGGACATGGCTACATGATGTGGGGTTGGCGACATCTGGGCGTCATCCTCGAGCGTAGTATACTAACGTGAAGGTTTTTCAGTTTTTTTCCTATCTTCTACTACAGTTTTGGTCCGATTCTTTTGAAATTGGTGTCGTCGGAAAGATGTTGTAAACGCGCACAACTCCTGCGTGGCGGAATTTTGTTTTTTGTCATAGGGGCGAAATTAACGACCTTTTGCGAGGCGGCGCGCGCGTCTTCGAGAAGTAGTCAGGCGCCTTTTACCTTCCGTTGCGAACTCACGCGGTTTAACGTTTCGTGAATCTCGAATCGCTGTCTCTCTTTCTCGTGTCGCCAATAGAAGTGAATTGCGAGTGAACGGGACGTCGGAAGTGGGTACCGTAAAAGAGAATGTGGTAGCCCGCGACACGATCTCCTGATGGTGGAGTCAAATCTTCAATCGCAAATTGCGGGTGAACGGGACGTCGGAAGGGGGTACCGTCAAAGGAAATGTGGTAGCCCCCGACACGATCTTCCTGATGGTGGAGTCAAATCTTCAATCGCGAATTGCGGGTGAACGGGACGTCGGAAGGGGGTACCGTCAAAGGAAATGTGGTAGCCCCCGACCCGATCTTCCTGATGGTGGAGTCAAATCTTCAAACGCGAATTGCGGGTGAACGGGACGTCGGAAGGAGGTACCGTCAAAGGGAATGTGGTAGCCCCGGACACGATCTTCCTGATGGTGGAGTCAAATCTTCAAACGCGAATTGCGGGTGAACGGGACGTCGGAAGTGGGTACCGTAAAAGGGAATGTGGTAGCCCGTGACACGATCTCACTGATGGTGGTGTCAAATCTTCAATCGCGAATTGCGGGCGAACGGGACGTCGGAAGGGGGTACCGTCAAAGGAAATGTGGTAGCCCCCGACACGATCTTCCTGATGGGGGAGTCAAATCTTCAAACGCGAATTGCGGGTGAACCGAACGTCGGAAGTGGGTACCGTCAAAGGGAATGTGGTAGCCCCCGACACGATCTTCCTGATGGTGGAGTCAAATCTTTAAAAGCGAATTGCGGGTGCACGAGGAAAGGGGGAAGCGGTTAGTGAATGTAGTAGCCTTCGACAAGATCTGTTATTGATGGTTGAATCGAAAGTGGCTAATAGAATACTGATCTGCCACACAAAAATGCGCTGAAGTCCCTTCGATCTCAAACGAGGACTTTGATAATTTTCTTCATGTAAATTCTCAAATGCTGGTAAAATAACATTTACTAACGCATTTATTTCAAGGCATCCTAAGAAAATTATGCATAACGGTCACAATTTTAGAAAATCTATAATAAAACGGAAAGCATAACAGAATGATATGTATAGGCAATGTAATACTAGATCAATGTAGATTTTTTTTGACATTTGACAGTGCAAAAAAATAAAGCATGTTTCGTTTGAAAAAATCAACTTTTTAAGGGTTGAAGTTAAATAAAGTTGACCATTCGTTTTAAAACACCCTGTAAAAGGGCGAACAAAATTTAAATCATTGTCACGCAGCAGCAAGTGAGTACTGCCGATTTTGGAATACTTTTTAAAATTGAAGTCAACGGAGTCATAGATACAGGACTCAATAGGATAACAGCCAAACATCAAAAATGTTCAAAATCTTGAATAACCTGAAATCCTTTGATGCTGCATATAGGGAAATTGGTATCAAACGGCGTAAATTTTCATGTAGATTTGGAAAATACAGGGTGTTCTATGTAAAAAAGAAGTTGATATCGACATGCGATAGAACCAGAAGTGAAAGATCATTCTTTCGATAGGTCAAGAAAAACTATGTCGGTGTACACATTGTCAGATTTAATTGATCAATGAAAGCCTGAATACTTTTAGGTATCGGGTTGCGTGACACGGCCTCTAATACTTGGTGTAATTACAGAAGTAGGTATCCACAAGAATCTTACCATTACAAACTTCTAATCAATGAAACCAGTAAACAAATACATTATTATCTAATTATAGGAAGGTGTTAATGATGCCGGACAAAGCCCAAGGCGGTGAATTCCATTGCAGATAATAATGAATAGCCCAATCTCTAAAGCTATTGTTAGAAAAATGAATAGGATTAATTCGCAATTGCCAGTTAATGACAATTTCGCCGGCGGGTGTATGGTGTAATTTAAGTTGCCTAACTGTGCTTTCAATTTGTGAAATACTTCATGTCATCAAAACATTTTCCCCAATTTTTGTTGTTAATTTAAGGGCTGAAAAAGATATATCTATGTACAATCATACAATTTTGTTAGCTGGTTGTAAATCGCCAAAACCCATGTCTGTATGTTTTATAGAGGCGTCGTTATCTTAAAGACAAGCTTTATCAATTGTACTAGTTATTTCCAAAATTATGGCAAACTTCAAAATTTGGTTTACGCACAATCATTCTGTTGGTTAATAGCTACAATATTTGACGTCGGCCCTTTTTTTAAATGCGATTATAAAATCAAAATCTTAAAGAAATGATTCGCTGTTTTGCGGATAGTTCAACATTCACTGCAGAGCCGCCTTAAATTAGGGCGCTAAACATTTTTTACCCTTGCTAAACTACTTACAGAAACACAACCCTCTTCTGTATGCTAGGGCAAGCTTATGTTTTGCCGGCCCGTGTGGCGCAAGTTCAGTTAAAGCTGATCTGTTGGTGCTAAGGGTCTCTGGTTCGAATCCGGGTTCGGGGATAGATATTTGTAAATGTATAGTGGGTTAGGCTGGTAGAGCAATATATGGTAGAGCAGCCTTGGCTGAAACCCCGCCCACTCAAACATAAAGCAAAAATAAAAATATAAATTTAGTGCAACTACCAGTTTGTTTTTAGTTTATGCTGCTACATAAGCTATTTTAGTGGAAAAAATGTGCAAAAACTGCGTATTTATTATTTCACTAGCTTCCCCTTCAACGGTGAAAATCGATTTAGTATCTTCTTCTGTAAAAGACTGCCAGTCTCCAGTGTAGAATTACCTTTGCTTAATTTTATTTAATTTTCTGACATGTTTGGCACAGGTGATAAAAGAAATACAACAAATGTCCGAAAATGGATGGTTTGTCAGTCATTTAGTCGATCTTCTTTATCATGCCGGTCGTCTTGAGGGGTTATATAGTGATGAAACCAAAGTGTAAGGATTATCCGGCACAGGACATTGGTAATATCTGGCAATTTTAGGATTGGCAGTCGTCTACGCGAATCTTTCCTACTAGACTATGGCACATTGCTCATGGGCCACCATTCACTGTGGCAAGTGGGCTTGAATTATCTGGATCACTGCCCGACAGAAGGACTGTCAACAATCGAGCTTTTACTACCCGCACTGCCCTTGAAATCTGAGGCACGCACGCAAAAAATAATACGCGAGGCTCACAAGCGAGATATGCCACAAATTGGTTGGTAAAAATGATGCTCGTCTAGTAACTAACTGGCCAATTTCAGTACAAAGCATTTGTAAAGTACACACAATGGATTCCATATCGAAAGGACGTTTGGGAAATGCTCTGACTTGGGGGTTAAAATCGCAAGACGGCGGATTTACCTCACTTATTGCGGATAAATTTTTGCGCAAATACAAAGAAACGGGAGTATTGCTGAATGAAGATTTGCTCGACAATTTAGGTTCCTCGATGCTCATTAGCGATCGGCTCATATTTCTAGGTAAATACTTCGAATTTCACAAAGAATATCGGCTAAAGAATTACAAGGAAGCGGCAAATATACTCATTTCTTTGCTCGCATCGAAACTTACACCGAGATAGTAAGTGATCAACTGTAGAAATGCACATTCATCATTCTTGTTTTAGCTTTTGGGACACATTACTATGCGACGCAATAAATTTGTTGGAAAATAACGTTATGGTCATCTCATCTACGGATACTTACACATTACTCCATAGTCTAGAAGAAAAATGTGAACTTCCCGAGCTGAAGGATAAAATCGATTTGATTCGATTAGGTGCTGCGAGAAATCTGTCTCGTGCCCTTTTATATGAAATGCAATTGGATAAAAAATACACCTGAGTACTATTCTTTTTTAAATAAAAATAAAACAAATAATTACATTCTTTTTAACAAATAAATATTACGCTTCAACATGTATGAGATCCGGTATCACGTCCAATTGCTCAACGTTGTACTTGTAAATTTTGTAGTCGTTGTAAGTAAAACGCGCTTGTAAGTGATGATCATTTAATACTAACGGTAACCAAAATTGTGAATCCGGCCACATATTATGATAGGGAATGTTTTCGAACTCGAACCATTGGGGTCTCATCTCGTCGCTTTCCTTTAAATCGCCTTCCACCTGACTAGCGCTAAAAATATATACAATCCTTCTGTGAACGTCATCATCGTAAGTAACAACGCCCATGTAATGTAAATGCTGTTTCTCCACCACTAAATTGCTTTCTTCGAATAATTCGCGAATTGCACCTTCCGATATGGTTTCGTTCTCTTCCAGTTTTCCTCCAAAACCGTTCCATTTTTGTTGACCGAACCCGCGTTTCTTGTATCCCAGCAGCACGTGGTTTTGGGTTTTTATGAAAATCAGCGTGTAGTGTGTGGTGTGCATTTCGTGTTACACCTGAAAAAAAATTGAGTTTGTATTCTTTGGTATTGATTTATTAAACTTAACGATTCCAAAGTGTCATTTGCATAAAGGTGTGATAGGTGATATTTTGCCACTAACATGCTTGATTTTAGTTTAATATACAGTGCGAGTGTAAGTCGGGAAATATCACAATCAAACGTTCAAAAAAAAAAAGGAAGGTTATACACTGCCTTTTTTTGAGGCCCGCAAAAAAAATTGTCTCAGATCGACCCGGAAAAAAAAAATTTCTTATAGAATGTGGCCTGATGTAGAATCCATAATTTCAAACAGTTCCAAGATTGGGCTACTAGTTCAAAAGTTACAGCCCTTTGAATTTTCTTTCGAAATTGGTTTCTAGTCTATAACATTTTATTGAGAAGTCTGATAGAAAAAGTACGAATGGTTTTGGATTCTACGCACCAAAATTAATAAGAAAAAGTGTTTTCCCGAGAAATTTTGGTGCAGTCGATCTTTGGTAAAAAAGGAAGGTTATACACTGCCTTTTTTTGAGGCCCTCAAAAAAAATTGTCTCAGATCGACCCGGAGAAAAATTTTTCTTAAAGAATGTGTCCTGTAGAATCCATAATTTCAAACAGATCCAAGATTGGGCTACTAGTTCAAAAGTTACAGCCCTTTGAATTTTCTTTCGAAATTGGTTTCTAGTCTATAACTTTTTATTGAGAAGACTGATCGAAAAAGTACGAATGGTTTTGGATTCTACGCACCAAAATTAATAAGAAAAAGTGTTTTCCCGAGAAATTTTGGGGCAGTGGATTTTTGGTCAAAAAGGAAGGTTATACCATTGGTTATACACTGCCTTTTTTTGAGTCCCTCAAAAAAAATTGTCTCAGATCGACCCGGAAAAAATTTTTCTTAAAGAATGTGGCCTGTAGAATCCATAATTTCAAACAGTTCCAAGATTGGGCTACTAGTTCAAAAGTTACAGCCCTTTGAATTTTCTTTCGAAATTGGTTTCTAGTCTATAACTTTTTATTGAGAAGTGTGATCGAAAAAGTACGAATGGTTTTGGATTCTACGCACCAAAATTAATAAGAAAAAGTGTTTTCCCGAGAAATTTTGGGGCAGTGGATTTTTGGTCAAAAAGGAAGGTTATACCATTGGTTATACCTACACTGCCTTTTTTTGAGTCCCTCAAAAAAAATTGTCTCAGATCGACCCGGAAAAAAATTTTTCTTAAAGAATGTGGCCTGTAGAATCCATAATTTCAAACAGTTCCAAGATTGGGCTACTAGTTCAAAAGTTACAGCCCTTTTAATTTTCTTTCGAAATTGGTTTCTAGTCTATAACTTTTGATTGAGAAGTCTGATCGAAAAAGTACGAATTGTTTTGGATTCTACGCACCAAAATTAATAAGAAAAGTGTTTTCCCGAGAAATTTTGGTGTAGTCGATTTTTGGTAAAAAAGGAAGGTTATACACTGCCTTTTTTTGAGCCCCGAAAAAAAATTGTCTCAGATCGACCCGCAAAAAAAATTTTCTTATAGAATGTGGCCTGTAGAATCCATAATTTCAAACAGTTCCAAGATTGGGCTACTAGTTCAAAAGTTACAGCCCTTTGAATTTTCTTTCGAAATTGGTTTCTAGTCTATAACTTTTGATTGAGAAGTATGATCGAAAAAGTACGAATTGTTTTGGATTCTACGCACCAAAGTTAATACGTAATTATGTATAGTTGACTTGGAAAGCATTTTTATTAAAAATTAGGCAATTTTTATACGGAATGGGATTAAGGGTTGGTATTATTTTTTCCACACAAAAAAGTTGTTTATTGACTTTTGTTTGCATGCAAATGAAGAAGCGTATTCCACACTCATCCTTCTTCCATTTGCGCTTTTGGTCAAGGCATTTGCTTGACGAATGACCAGATTGAAGACAAATAAAATCAGTGATCGAGTACATAAACATATGTATTTAAATTCGTCGATTGGGTTGGTACCATGCCAGCGAACTCAATTACGCATCGGATCTCTTTTTTTAAAGCCAAAATTTGCATAAAAACTAGAAATGCATGTTTTCTATTGGTTTAAAAGGTACGATAGACTGGGTCATTGCGTTGGTTCCGCTTTCAATTTTGTATAAATAGCTGAACGCATGCTAGCCGAAAGAGACGTTTTGTGCGTGTAAAGGTGTAAAGGTACCTCGTACACGAATTTACTAGTCGAGAGAGGCGCTTATTTTGTGAAAGTGTGCACATCTTCGTACCAGCAAATTTACATTGTTAGGAAAAGGACACGTAGGGTCTTTGAAATTGTGTACTGCCGCGTGTAGTTTATGAGTGCATATAAAAATCGGCAAGAATCGTACAACATTCGAATTATTCTTTTCGCTTCTAAACGCTATGTACGTAGCATTGCATGGCGTGTAGCGACTTATTTAAATTACAAACGATGGTAATACTCGCCGTGGTACTAACAAACAAATAGCGCGTCGGTCATGTAAATTGAACAATCACATAATCGCTACGGTAGAGTGGTGATTTCGTTCTCGAAATACGGGAAAAATTAGTGTCTGTGAAATAGTATATTTCATTACCAGTCCAGAAAGGAAGATTTTCCCGTGGGCGCATGACGTTTCCCGTGTGAGGCGAAGCCGAACACGGGAAGTCATGCAAACACGGGAAAAGCCTTTCTGGACGTGTAATGAACGATATTTTTCATTATACCTCTCCGAAAATAACGGAGAATAATTATTTACATTGAAGTCCAAATCCAATTTGACAACAAATTCTGTTGCTTGTCTTATGACCCTTAAACCCCCATTATCTTCAACACATCATCAATAGTCGAGCGAATTGTATCGTCTCCCCTGCATCTTGCTCCAAATTTCCGAATACTAAAATAACCTTAGTAAGTAATCACCATTTTATCTCTGCAGCTTCATTCAAAAATTGCTCCCTTGTTATACAGAACTTTTGATTTTTTTGGGATGTAGCGGACGGTCTGACGCTTCAAAAAGCCGGTTTTGCACAATTTGCTAGCGTTTTCATTTTCTTTTACCGTAAGAATGTTCTTAATCATTGAAAACCTACTCCATAACGTACTCTTTTCACGATTACTTCAATGCACCATGCAGCATTTTTCATACTCCTTTTCGCATCTCTCTTTTGATTTCGCTGGTAATAGTTGGGAACTGGTTTCTGCAGCTTCCCGTAATATATTAGCGGGAATTTCGACTTCACCAAAATCCATTTTTAACACAAATGTAAAAAATCGGTTGACATATATGTCAAAGTCAATCCGCGGTAGGTATGCATGGGATAGGGATAGCTATGGCAAACTTGATTATTCGTAGCGCACGGGAAAAAGTTTTCCAGTGCGCTCGCACGGGAAAACCCTACTTTCGGTGCGCTTGGGATACATGAAAAGACAGTACTTTCGGAGAGGTATAATGAAAAGGAATTTACCAACGTTGTGCAAATATTCCACAGTAAAATTTATCGACGCTGACGGGGGAAAAAAATATAAGCGGGTGGCTCCCATAGTGATGACGTAATAAAGGAAAATTGTAGTGCATTGCATCGATATTTCAAGTTTAAGTCAAGTGGACTTGTGGTATGCGTTCTAAACCATCGCGAAAATTATTTACAAACTTTTTTCGATCTTTCACCTGGTGAGGGTGGTTGTTAATATTTAGGGACTACGAAGACCAGTTGTTTGGATCTGGGATCAGCTCCAACGTTGAAGCACCTGGCACCCGTTGGCCCGTTGTATTAAGTTGCCTTACACGTCTGCAGGGAGCAGTGCGCCTGTGGAGATTTCTTTCGCCTATACTCGTGGGACTCATATACACAAAGAAAAACAATAAGACAACAAACTACTCCCGGAGCACCTAGTACTGGAAAGCCAGGCGACAGGAACCAGGGGCATCTAGGCAACCTGATCTCCCATCTGCTTAAACAGGGCGACCTAGGAGCTCTAAGCAAGCAGACAACGCACCTACCGAGAGTGCACTGAAAACTGGGACGCAAAAGCGACACCGCTGTGTTGGGGCGAAACTTCCATTCGTCGAAGCGAAGAACCTCCCAAAACCAGTAAGCGACACGCCAGAATCCCCGGGGCTCAAATAGAACCGGAGAAGATCCTGAAAAGGGTCGAAATCTAAAATGTTGCAGACAAGAAAGAGGACCCCAAGGGACAAACTTTGATTGTGCTTATGGACACTTATAACTATCGACCCTATGTGAACTTCACCAGGGTGACGTTCAACCTCTCCTCCAAGACGACGGTGGAGGCAGAGGAGGTGACAAGCATAGAATGCGAAAGGGTCACAGCGATTGAGTGGCCCTCAAACAACTGTGCCAACCACCACACTTCAGTAGATAATTCCGGTTTTATTATTTTACTTACCTATTGTAAAACTAGGACAAATTAATCTGCATCACCGTAGAGCGCCAGAGTGGTCCTCTGTGCACACATGACAAACATTATATTGATGTACTCCTGGTACAAG